ATATATAATTGAAGACACATAAGGAAAATATGTTTTGGGAGAAAAACGTATTTGTACTCATCATGATTTCAATACAAAATCCTCCAATTACTGTCCAGGTGCTTCACCAACTGACACAGTTTTATATATTTATATATATTCCCATAGGGACACGTTTTTTTCTCAAGTTGCTGCATAGTACGCAAAGAATAGTTTAAATCACATACTGTAATATTAACTTGATGAGTGTTTTCAATACCAAGTCTAATATTATGTGATCTTTGAAAAATAGGATGTGTATAAGAACTTATGATCAGTAATTCAAATAGGTGATGAAATATTGAGTGACTGAAAGTATTTAATGAAAACCAATAAAACACAAGGGGGGGGGGGGGGTGGCGGAATGAATCAACTTGTGGGGATACAGGAGGGGAGGGGTGTGATAATGAACAGAAACTTCCAACATTCATTAACCTACCACCCTGAAACATAGCTTGTCTTAGATCCATTTTTAGTTTACTCTTTTTGCCCCAGCTTAGTTTCCGCCTCCTCATCGTTGGAGACGCAACAGGTGAGTTAGGAAGAGGAAGGTCTGAATGAAGCATGAAAATTTATGTAAAAGAAGAGAAAACACAATACCAGTAGTTAGTTAGACACATTTCAAAAGCAGTTAAAACAGCATGCGCTCAGTTATATTGCTTTTCATGACGATCAAGCAATACAAGATGTAATTGAAGATTTAAAGGGAAAATAAATGAATGCCAATGAAGGAAGCACGCATTAGAAAGGCAGGCCAAGAACCTACAATAGAGACAATACACAGTTAATCAAGTAATGCTGAATGATGTCAACCTGATTAATGCAATCAGTTGCCATGAATATCCTATAATATTAACGTTTATAAACTTAGAAGATGATGTAAACAAATGATATCAATTACAAATAGATGTCATGATTGAAATGAGAATATGAAATTGTTAAAATTTGTTTTCAAATGGTTCAATTTATCAATACAGAATCTATACTTATGTTAAAAACCATTTGAAAACAAAGCCACAAATGTGTGTACTACTATAACTAAATGAAGATGTTCTGAAATAAAACACAACTTTTTATTACTTGCTTTCATCAACAAACATTAGCAGGTTGATTGTAATAGATTTTAGCTTTTGAAGCACTGCACTGCATTTTGGGAAAATGTGCACATTTAAGCTCTACAATTACTATAGTAATCTGCATCTTAACACCTGTAACGCAATGTATTACGACGTTATTTGGATATCATGGCCACCTGTCTGCAATGGGATATGCATTACATAACAAATGCCCACAAGTTTTTGGGGCAATTACTACCTATTTGCAAGTGTTTTACTCATTACACGTATTAGGATGTACAGGAACCAAAAAGAAAAAAAAAAGGCAATTTGCTTGTGTTGTATCATCAGTTGATCACTGCCAATAGACAACCTGGACAAATTAACAAACTGCACGAAAATGCACACAAAAATCAACAAAGTAATACATATAAACAAATTTGAAAATGTTAAATATAAGCCATGCAAATGTGCTAGAAAAAAGGGGAAAAAGTGCATGCATTTGGGGTAAGGGAATTTGCACCCCTGGTGTAGCATGCATCTACAGTACCTACCAAATACATACCATATTCTTTATTATATGATTTACTGTTGGAGCGTGGACGGCCTAAGGTTACCAGTCCACTTATTGAGCTTTTGCGACCAAAACTAAACGAGCTTCTACGGTTGGAGTCAGGGTTACTTGAGGGAGGGGATCGTCTGTTACCATTTGGTATCACCAACTCTGAGGGGTACTCTGCAAGTTGTTCATGTAATTACTCATTAAAAATCATTTAGTAACTTTTAAGAAAATGTATCCCATTGCTTACATCAAGTAATGATTTATATACTTATATGTATTTATATATTTATATATTTATATTGGTCATCATATAAAATAAAATGTTAATGGCAAATTTATAGATTTAAATTAAGCTTGTTATGAACCAGGTTTCTAAGATGATTTTTCTGACCATAAAGATTTTGATTTAATCAAGAAATACTAATAGATCATTAGAAATTTATTGCATTTATTTATTGTTCTAATTTTATAGATTCTCATTTATTTTTTGGCCTAATTATTTCCCTTGCTTTCTGAATCTGGTTTAAAATTGTCTGAAAAAAACATAAATATGTATTTCTGTGAGAAAAACATGGTGCAAAATGGGATTATTTGAATGATGAGGCCATTGATTGTGAATGGTATAGCCAAAAAGGAAATGCAAATATATGGTGCATTGTGTTATATCAAATCCACATCAAACAGGAGTGAGCAATAAAGGCATTGCGAATGACTAAAGTTATATGCGAGTATACAGGAATTTATCAATGGAAAACAAAAGCTACAATAGAAATACAGCTACAATGGGCAATGAGGTATATAGGGCATAATAATAATAATAATAATAATAATAATAATAATTTAGGATATGAAATGAGGGAACTAAAGAAATGATAAATATACTATGTTTTTACTAAATCTCATGTTCATTAAAAGTATACTAACATTAAATCTTATAACTATGATATCCACTAATAGTAAATAAAATGAAAATTATTAATTGGATGATAACCTGATGGGAAAATCAAATGACACAAACACTATTCTGTTTAGAACCAAAATAGGATACAAATATAACACTAACAGGTGGTGCCTTGTTTGTTGACTAACAAATACATTTGAAACACAAGCTTTCGCTAGCACAAGCTAGCTTCTGTAGGTGATTCCACTCTTCTACTCCAATGTGCTAAACAAATCTGTATTATTATAAACTCTACATTCTACAATCATATTATATACTAGAGTTGTGAATAAATTGAAATAAACATTTAAGGAAATCCACATAAAGGTCTAAATTAGTAGAATTCAAATAATATTAGAATAATAATTGCATGTTATTTTCATGTTAGTTGGTAAAATCAGTCAAATTTCTACCTTAATGCAATAACCCCATTACAAAATATAGCAAATTGCATTCTACATCAAATCAAATGCTGTTGGCATGATGCACTGTGGGATTCCTTTATTCCAGCATGCCGTCCATAACCTGCAACCATTCTCATACCAACCTTCAACATTGCTCCCACATTTAACACAAATTTAATCAAAGTTTGTTTTCATTTACTGTTATTCTTGTTTTTTTTTCTTTCCAATTACTACACATTTATTTCATTTTATGAATAATAGTTAAGTAGTATATTGGCATTTTAAATACTTTTTAAAACAAATTATTTCCAATGCTTTTGTTGTTGACGCAATAAAGCTGATAGTGATAATAATGGGCATTTCTATTGCGATTTTCTTAGCAGTTGCAAAATAATTACAGATCTTCCAAAAAATAAATGAATATCTTGTAAGTTATATTTTATTTATTTTTGTAAAATTTTATTAGTAATTATTTTAAAAATAAATTAGTGACCTTCTGCAGCTCATCCCAGAAAATTGTGTGGACATTTTGGTACATCATTAACTTACCAATTTCTTTAAACATCTTGTCGTCTGGTACTGTTACGGAGCATAACCGATTTAGGGCAATTGCGCCAAGTTTATGCTGAAGGTCCACACTCTTGTAGATATCTATGGAATGGCTTGTGAGAATGAAGTAGCGCTTCTTACGCGTGATACCAGGACGGGAGATTGTTCCTGTGTTCTCTTTGGTCAACCATCCACTCATGAGGATTTCTTCCTTGCTGTATGTCCTCTGACCCTTATGGTATTGTGTGAGGGCTAGATAGTAATTAAACACAGATAAAAATGATTTTTTAATAAACTGATTATTTTTTACTATAGTGGAAAATATCATGTAGCAAAATAGAAAGTTAAATAAATACAGTGTGCGTCTGTTTTTAACACACATGATCTTAAAAAATACACGAGTAGGGCTCACATACCTTTCAACCACCCATTCATATCCTCTGGTGATTCGGCCGACATATTGAACACTCTCTCAGCTGTGATGATTGCAAATGCATTCGGTTTAGTTGGAAGATTTACGGGTACAACAGAGTCGATAACCGCCACGTCGAGGGTGCCAATGGCGTTCTTTGGGTTTGCATCCTCATCTTGCATCTGCTTCAGTTCGTATTCATTTGCATTTTTCACTCGCATCAGAATACTGAACCATTCACTAAAAACAGAATGTTTTTATGAGTGTTTTTGATGTTTGAAAGTGATATCAAATTGGCCCAATCTGTTAAGAATATTATCCTCACTTGCTTTCTCCATATAATACTGTATATCCACATTACAAACATTTCCCAGCTATTTCTACTAATCAGTGAGCAGTAATAAAAATTGAATAATCATATCAAGATTAATGAATATTTGTAAGATTTAAGTAGAAACTAACTTACCTCAAATCATCAGCATTGTCTGCAACTATGTGATAAGTCCTCTTCTCAGTGATAATGTCTAAGGAACTCTCTCTGCCAAAACTACTATCAACGATATCCCTAGACATGGTAAAGCAGGTAAACATGTTAACGCTCATAAAAAAGTGAGGGAGTACATTTAACTCCTTAGCAAATCATGTACAATTTATTTTGTACAACATTTTGTGAAGAAACATCTAAATATTCCAACCGACACAATATATCGTCAGGGACATTTAAATATTCTATGACACAACTGTCCCTAATTCAGACCACACAGACCCAACGTGACAATAAATTGTGTTGCTCTGTGCCGTAGTCAACTTAAGCATCTCTGTACATATTAGATTCATGGTACCTTACCATGCAATAAATGATAAAATTTTGAGCATCTTTGCACACAGATAGCCACAAACACAGATTAAGATTATTATCCAGAAACTGGAACACACATTAATGCCATGGTGAAGACACAAATCAGGCAAATCAAGTATAGTATCAGTCATTTAACTTACTTTGTCTGTTTGATATTAATGATCCCTTTACAGAGTGCCCCATCACTATCTGATTCATAGTAAGCCAGTTCAATTCCTTTTAATACAAAGAATCTTTTCCTCCAATTTCGCCTATGAAAAAGCAAGTATACAAAATTAAATGTCTTAAAACTTCAAAATTTAAGAACTGATCACTACCTAATGTAAGGTTCTAAGCAAGAGCTGTATCATTCTACACATTCATTCATTTTACAAAGAATTTATTTTTTTCTAATTTGAATTTTTTTTGAAAGCAAAAAACTTAGCAAAAGACAAGTTATTCTGTAAGAAGTATTACCTTGATAGCGTGCTGGTTCCACCTCCTTTCTTAAGCAGCCATCCTGATTTGAGTGCCTCCTGCTTTGCTCGGAACCACATCAATGTCTCATCCCGTAAAACACAGTAACGCTTTTTCCATGTATTAACCATTCCCCCTGGGAAGAGATAGAAAATTAGATTACTCATTCTCATTTTTTTCCCCTGTAAAGTAATAAGAACTTTATTTCAATATAATAGTACAATACTACAATAATAAACTTCATTCATTCAGCAACTATAGCAACATACCACACTTCATGTTCAGATATCCTTCCCAATACTGCAGGTCATCTGATTTCCGGGAAACACTGTCATCATCTGGATCTTCATCTTGGTATTCCGATTCCTGGTCTGCTTCCTCAAACTATCAGGATCAAAATCAATTACATTTGTTAATACTGTCACTTACCTTAATTAAGAAATTAAAGAAATATTATCAAACAAAAATTAATATCAATAATCTCACTTTATACCAAAACTAAAAATAGGTTTTATATTTCATTAAATTTAATATTAATAAACATGAATGAACTTTACTAGGCTTACTGCAATAAAGTTTATAATTATTATCAAAATTATTTTCAAAAATGATGTGCAGGTAGTTCAATGGATGCACTATCAAATGATAGTAAATAAATGAAAGTTAAACATTTATTTGGAAAGTAAAACTTTAGTTATTTTGACAAACTGTTTTTAATTAATTAATTTTTCCATAAGTAGACTGTGTATATTCTTGCAAACTAATTCATTGTAATTTAATTTGCAATAAGTAGCTTCATCATTACCAAAAAAATATTTATGGAATTGCTATACATATATGGATTAATCACAAACCTGTTTAACAGGTTGAATATAATACCTGTTAAAAAGGTTATACACAGCTGTTATAAACAGGTTATATTACAATACAGATTATATATAAACTTGTTATGATATATACACTTTATGTTATAACTCTCATATAAAACTGTTTTACACAGTTGTTATAAAAATGTTTTACATACAACTGTTATATTATTATACATGGTATATAAATCTGTTACAAAGATGTGATAAAATAGTTAAAAGTATATAGCTTTTATAAACAGTTTTTACATAAAACTGTCTAACATTACATAGTACTGTCATATTATGTATATGATTCATACACAACTGTTTAATGAAATATTATTAACAGGTGTGAACTGTTACATTAAGAACCATTTCAATATACAACTGCTTTGAGCAGTTATTACATACACCGGTTATAAATGGTTTACACTTTATATAATGGCAATAATTACTTGAGCTACTCATTACAAAATCCTCAATAGATTGGTGATATTCTACAATAAATATGCTGTAAATAAGTTGTTATGTTAAAAACAGACAGACCAACATGTGATTTATAATATATATATCTATATATATACATATAATGTATTATATTGCAGTTGTATAGCAAGCAAGACATGCTAAAAGGGCCTGTTAGCCATCAGTATCAAGCATCATTGAGCTAAGCAGCCCTTCTCAGTCACTGCTCTATGCCTTCATACTACCAGAAGAATCAAATGGCTGGGTAAAAAGTATTATAGGTTTACACAAAGGAGTAAGTTTACACTATCATTACATGGCAGACATTACATCAATTGAGACAAGTATTTTATGAAATATTGTGTTATGCCACGCCCTTCACAAAGCATCAACAATTTGGTTATCCATCAGTCAACTCCCAGAATGAATTAGGAATTAAAAACACATTATTAGGAATGAAAACACAAACCGAGTTAAGAATACTGATGTTAATGATTGTCAAAAGGATTATGAATGATTTTAAACTATGAATGCATTTCAATCATCTAGATCTAAAGATCATTTAATATAGACATTATGTAAGTGCAAAGTAAATGTTGGCAAAGCATACTACAGTATGTAAAAGAGAAGATGGGAAGATCTATAGTAATGGTTTCCAAAACACATATACAAACATTGACAGTTGATTCCTACAAGAGGAACTCTACAGGAGTGACAGCATGTAAGGAAGGTTAGACGCTATCTGAACATTAAAAATAAGTAAACACAAACATCAGAGAAAACACTACAATTTCAAAAATGATGCGGCTACATTAAGGGTAAGACTCAATGCAAAAAGAATTGGTTACAAAGATAATGGTAATAATATTTTCAATAGATGTTTAATCGGAAACTGATCCTACTAAAGTCTATACTACGCATTTCGTAAGCATAGGGAATACAGTAACTTATAATTCAATTCTGATTAATAATCACTAATCAAAACATTCAAATGGTAAAGAAGTTAAGTAAGTTGTCTCAAGACAAAAACAGTAGATTGCGAATGAGTGGAGGTTGTGGTCTTGGTATCCTTACCATTTCACCATAATAATTGTCTAAATTTAGGTCAGTATGAGAGTTCAGCTGGAAGTAAATGAATGAAATGTCACAAGAATGAATGCAATTATAGGATGAGTTGGTGTCAACTAAATCTAACTACAATAATAATGATATTATTAGAGAAAAAATCAATAGCAATCAAACATTAACTATAATAATAATAATAACGATAACAATAATAATAAATAATAACGATAACAATAATAATAAATAATAACAATATTAATAATAAAATAATAATCACATTCATAATTTACAAGTAGATATAGTAAAACACTGAAAGACTTGATACTACCCATGGTCATAAGACACCAGGCATGGCATTCCCCTAGAGGACTTGACATTACCTTTTTGATATTAATCTAGGCTTAACAACCCTGAGGACATGACACTGCCTATGGTCCAAATAAACCTAGTCTAACACTCCTCTAGATGTCACAACATTCTCAATGGTCCTAATAAACTTGGCCAAACACTCCCCTAGATGTCACAACATTCTCCATGGTCCTAATAAACCTGCCCTAACACTTCCTGCAGGACATGGCATCATCCATGGTCCTAATAAACCTGGCCAAACACTCCCACTGAGGACATGACACTGCCCATTGTCCTAATAAACCTGGCCTAACACTCTCCTAGATGTCACAACACTGTCCATGGTTCTAATAAACTTTGCCAAATACTTCCCTACATGACATTGTACTCTCCATGGTGCTAATAAACCTAGCCTCCCCAGCAGGACATTGCACTGTCCTAATAAATCTGGTCTAATAGTCCCCCAGAAGTCATGGAACTGCTCATGGTGTTAGTAAACTTGCCTTAATACACCCCTAGAAGACATGACAATGCCTATTGTGGTCTGAGACTCTTTTTGAGGACCTTGGTAATTAACCAGGCATCACATTTTTTATTGGTTCAATGGAGCACCATCAGTAACAGAAGTGGGAATGCGTTTGAGGGCAGAGTGGATGCAAGGTGTACATATCAGGGGTGTAACCTTGTGGAGATTGGGCTGAGGGAGGTAGTAGTTGGTTCTTTCAAATGTTCTATAGTAAATTTAATCCTGTAAATATACTTAATAGCATAGTGCATGGTAGTTCCTAAATCTACTTCTACAAAAGTGATATTAGATTCTGTACAATATACAAGATAGGTGTTTAGATCTAAGGCGTAAAACTGAATAAGGAATAGTTATTAATAATTTCTATTAAGTGAGCAAGTAGGAATTTTTAGATTAATGCATAATTACAGCATATTTATGTTTTTGAACACATTTGTGCAATTGTATTTATTTTTTTATTTATAAAGTTAAGATCAACCTATACTGGTATATATACTTTTGGGTGTCTAAATATGTATCAAACATCCCATTGCTAGTATTGAATAATTAATTTAATAAATATATTTATAGAAAAATGGAAATTTCTCTCTGAAGACATTATTGAAGTAACAATACATAAATTATAACAGAATTGACTAAAAAATAGATGACTATCAGATGACTATCAGTACTTCACAAATGAAACTTCTAAATAATCTTGTACCTTTTAAATTTTTGTTTGTGACTTCCTTACAGACTTACAGTATATACGTACACAGTAACTTCAGAAACTGAATCACACACACAGTACAAAAACAGAACACTTGACATATACATTATTTAGGTCATACTCATGCTCAAATTTCACTCATTTTTTGAATTGAGGTCATACTTATGTTTAATATCTGAGTAGACGTGTACTTGTATACTTCTGAAGTTCATTGGTACCTGGTAAGTGATTCATTAGACTTCGGGTTTAAGTTATATTGTGATTTTGTGTTTTGGGATTTGTTTATATAGCAATTACATTTACATTACTGTTGTTGAATAGTTACTAATTGAAGTTTTTATTTTCTGACATAGGAAGGAAGGGGAGAGGGAGGAAGATTTTTTTAGTAAAATAAATTAAATCATCAATATGGGACAATGTTTTATTATTTGACTACACAACTAATTATTAAAGAAAATAATTAATAGTGTAAATAATATAATTGATTCAAAAAAGATATGCATTCACCATAATGTTTAACTATTGGATGGGTCACTGTGATTTCAAGGTCATAGGGATAAAAGAAACAATTAAACAAGCACTCATTTCCTGATGAAACTCATCTTGTGGTTCAAGGACCTGCATGTGTACTACTACTACTACTACTAATACACATGCTTAACAACCACTAGGGACTCGCTTATTTTTGGAACAAAACATTGGGCTTCAGCTGAAAATAAACTTTGGGATTTGAAACCGATTTGTCTACTCAATTCAAACGCAATATGAAACCACTGAGCATGAGTATAAGTAAATGAAAAATGGAAGAAGAATTGAATTAGAGTTGAGTAGCAAAGCAGATGAGTACCTGTGCAATACTATCATCAAAGTGGTTCATAACCTGTTGCATGGCGTATGCCAATTCCTCCTCTCGTCGACGCACTTCCTCTTCCAAACGTTTCTCTTCTGCAAGGCGTGCAGCTTCTTCTTGTTCTCGCAAACGCTGTTCTTCCTCTCGACGAATCCTGTTAGAAAGTTAGCAAGAAAAATTCAAATATATGCAAATGTAGATTGATTAAGTACAACAAAAAAATTGACGGTTATGGTTATTGTAGAGGTGATGAGGATGATGGTGATAATAAGATGATGATGATAATTATATTCAAGGGGCCAACAAGGATGAAATAATAATGATGATGTTAATAATAATGATGATATATAGCCCTCTTCTTTTTTTGTTTCATATAAAAAGCACCAAAAATATTTAAGAAATAATAATTTTTTTTTATGATTCCCTTAGATAAAACTTAATTTAATTAAAGTATATAAAAATATTAATATTAAACTTATTAATATTATATATATATTCCAAATAAAAAAATAATGCACAACCATCATTAAAAAAAAAACAACAAAAAGGGTATGAAGAACATAGCAACATGAGAGAAGAATAAATACAACTGTAGCATGCAGACAGGAAGTGATTACACTTGCACAGGCGATTCCCAGCAGACAAATACACAAGACTGGCTGCAATATTTAATCATTTTCATCATGGGGATTGAATTTAAGGAAAAATACTGATTTACAATGTCAACATACAGGCATTGGTGAGGCTTTTATCATGAAGATAGAATTGAAGGTGGAGGCTTCCTCAGTTGTATTGTTCACATATTTAAATTTATATTCTTACTGCTTTGCCTAACATATCTATATCTATTTTATTGAGTGACACTTGTTTGTGTGAATAATCAGCTCTGCTATACCACCCTTTTGACTTTTTATTTTATATAAATAAATAAATTACTTATGTACAATGTCAAAATAATATTTCTAATGTATATGAAAAAGAAAGATAAATAATTTTAAAAATGCCCGACTATTTTACTGATAGTGATAATTCTTCATCATAAAAGTAGTATTTTATGAAAACTGCTGTCCTTGGCAAGGCATCATAAGTATACTGAACATAGAGAACTAAGGAAAGAATATATGAATATTCATAACTTGGGAATTCATTATGAGGACATTACAAAGCTAAAATCATTAATAATATGTCAGGTTTATATAGGACATATGGCAAGGTACTACTGTATGTGCTTCACATATTTCATTAAATTAAACAATAGAACACACAAGTAGTGGCCAGGAAGCATGCTGTTATGTTCTCAAAAGAGTATTATTAATATCAAGAACCATTCAAACATACAATATAACCATAGGAGGACCAGACTGCTAGTATATTGCTGCACACAAAAATTTAGGACTAGAAATCTGTCTGTGAATTTTGAAAATGACAGCTGTATACACAATACTTTGATTTATTACCGGCAGGACTATGACAAATTTTAGCATGATACTTTTTCAAAGTAAGAAGCAATAGCGTGGGAGGGTTCACATAGAAACGTTGGCATCAAAGCGTTAGCCTAAGATTTTCCGCAGCAGGTCATCTTGGTTGATTTATTTTTAAAATCAGGACATTTATGGTTTTCAAAAATTAGAAAGGTCCAATTGGCAAGTAATGTATACAATCATATTACCCACCTTAATTCTTCTTCTAGCTTCAGTCTCTCATCTTCAGCCTATGGAAATGAACATATTGATTCAGAAATTGAAATAACTTTTTCACAAAACGAAATCCAAATAATTATAAGCCCAAGAAAGCTTTCTTTGCTTCAATCATGGAGAAAAAATATAAGATGTTGTAAATTCCTGTCACTTCATTGATACTGTTGTAAAACATTGTAAACATTATCACCTTTTTTCTTGCTTTTTCCTCTTCAAGTCGTTTAGCAGCTTCAATTGCTTTTGCTTTCTCTAAAACTCGTTGGCGTTCTTCTTCTGCTCTTTTCTTTTCAGCTTCTTCTTCTTCTGCTTTAATGCGAGCTTCTTCCTCAAGCTGCAAGCAGTAAAGTAATTTCAGTTTAGATGGATGTCAACAAAGCTATAAGTACTAATGCCAGGATGAGTATGGACCAAGTTTAGACCAAGACCCAACACCATACTGAGTATGTACTACTAGATGTGATGTAAAAAACACACCAATGACACCAAGGTCATTTTTAGGGATCAACTGTAATTATACATGGATAAGATAGTATGAGGAGCGACTCATGAAGAATGTGGTGCACACTACTGATGGTTTATACTGTATACTGATATATATGACAAAAATAAAATTCATTATCATAAATATTAAAATTCTTTCGTTCATTCATTCTTTAAATTTTGCAAATGTATTCAAATAATGGTTAAGTACAGGAGACAGAAAATTGCTAATACAAAGTAGGTCATAAGGTTACATATTAAGGGGCAAAGTATCAGGAGTAAAACATGTTGAATCTAATAAAACATTCCCTAACTGAAAATGATGAATGTAAAGGCTGTGTAAAGAGTACAGGCTGTCTAAGGACTACTATCTTTGACATACACTACTGAAAGAAAGCATGTACCTGTATCGCATTTGTCAACAATTGTTCAAGATTACTTAGCCAAAAATATTGTTATTGAAAGATTTTGTAACATTTCTGAGTAAGTTCAAATTAAATTGCATTTGTAAATCAATATCGTAGTGATTTTTTCATGAGTTCAAGTAGAAATTTAGAAAATTTTGTTTCAGTGGCTCTTTACAATTAATCTAAAATTTTTTTTTTTTTAATCCTCTTTTTACTCTCAGGTACCATAAACATATTCTTTTATAAAAAAAATCCTTTAAAGCATTCAGTGCATTTTGGTAAACCTATAGCATTATCATCAATGATTTCATATTATAAATTTAATACAATTTATTTATCAATAATAAATGAAAACACTTATAATCACATGAAATTTAACAATATACATAACATTTTATAATCATAACACTTTAACAATAACAGTCATGTTTAAACAAACTTTTTAAAACATATTTTTTGGTATTTGGTTGTAATGTTTACTTTATATGTTATATGAGGTTGGACTTGGAGGTTAAAGAAAACAGAATAAAGGTAAATTAATTAACTGGTTGTAATGTTGTGATGACTTACTTTAGCTTGTAGCTCCTCTAACTCTCTCAACTTGGCTTCAGCCTTTAATCTCTCCAATTCCCTGCCGGGGAAAAAATATCCATACTCAGTCTCAAAAATAACAGTTTTCTTCACCTTCAAGATACTACGTCTTACCTTCATCTTAATCACATAAAGATAACTAAAAATTAATTAGGAATAAAGGTTGGCAATATATCATAACTAAAAATACCTAAAATCATTCAGAAATACTTCATATTTTTAGGATATCATGAGATGATGATGGGGCAAGGTTGGTATTTTCCATGTCTCGTCATGTTTCACTTTTAAGTTTTAGATTCAACATGACTTGTTATTTCCTGTTGAGAATTTCTGTGAGCTCCATGCAATAACATTTAAAAATCATTTTAGAATTTACAAATCAGGATTGAAACTGAAAATAAAATATTAATTATTCTGACAGAAAGAGCACCACTAATATCATTATCAGTATTGTTATGTGATTTTAGAAGACAACCACACTGGAAATAAGTGCCTTGAGTAATTTTATGTGCTATGTTAGAAATGATTTACTCTGTGTTATTTTATTTCTTGAATATAATTTTTACTGAATATATTTAATTTATCAAAAGGAAATGACACCCTAATTGGTTCTAAAATCCATACCATTTTCATTTTTTATCCCAGAGTTTTAATTCAAAATTAAATTCAAAAATAATTAGCATAAGCTACAGAAATTAATTTATTTATCTTTTATACAATTGAATCAAACTTTGCACTGTGAAATGGCACAACATATTTTCTTACATTCAGATGTTTTCTGTTTGTTTTTAGTTTTCAACTAAAAAAAAAAACTTGAAACAAGCAAAAAGAAAATAAAAGTAAATTAAGTACATCAATGTTTTGAGAAACATGCTCACATATTTAAATAAAAGAAAATTATATGAAAAAACATTAAGTTGGATCAAACAAAAGTATAGCAAACATTAAACACAGCAAGCAACAAAAATACATTGCCATCTATTATTCTATTACAATTTGGAAAACATGAAACATCACAGAACGAAAAATGCATGTAATATGTGTGCTTATAAATTGCGTACCAAGTGATACATGCATGCTTTCATTATCAAGGTAAAAATGAACTTAACATCAATAATAAATGTAATAATAATATAAATAATAATAACCACAATAATGATAATAGTTCAAAGGTTCAATAAATATTTTCCCCATCCTCCAAATATTTTCTCTGTCCCATGATTGTACACACACACACAAATTATTCAGATAAATATCAAAACATTTCAATGTTTCTTGCATCCATATTTATGATGTTGGTCAAGGAAACTGATGGACGATATCAAGTAGAGTTTTAGTTTTGTTTAAAGAAAATGAAATCATTTAAGTATTGAAGAGTTTCCTTTCTTGACATTATCTTAAGTTTAGTTGGAAAAAGCAAAAAGATTCTGTCAAAGTTGAAGATTGCCTTATCCTGAAGGAAAGATCCGGCTGGAAGTATTGCTAACATTGTAATAGTGTAGGAGTGGTCAACTTAATTACTTCCTTATCTGCCAGGAATATTCTACGACTGCATCATAGTCACATGTTTTATGCAAGTTTTATCATGCTCAGTTTCATTTCATGTTACAAAAACAATAAAACAAAGAAAAACTGGGATAAACATAGGACATCCCTCAAATGATTGATACTCAAGTATTACATGGTTTGGTAGGCATAATACTATAGAGGCTTCTATGATCATAAACTGCTAGCCCCTTGGCTCTGACCCCATGTTGGACTTGTTGAACCCTTGCCAGCAATCTTTGGTTGTCTCAGATTATTTAATATAAGTCATATGACTTAATGAATCCAGCTTTACAGTACAGGCATTGACTCAGACTCTCGCTTATACTGTAAGATCATAAGATATATAGATATGGACTATAAATCACTGCTTCTTAAGAACCAAGTTAAGAATGAGTAACAAACTCTGGCTTAAAAAACATTATCTATCTTTTGAGCACAAAACTCTTACAACATTTTAAACCTTACTTGTTCATCTTCTGAAATTCCTAATAAATTAATGTTCTTTTTTGTAATATTAAATATTTTTAGCAAAACATTTGTACTATTATGTGATCAATAATGAAGATATTAAGAGAAAAAAAAAACAATATAGAGTAGGGCCTACACTTATCAATTATATAGTTTAACTGATATTAATATTAAGAAATTATGGAATAAAACTATTGAAGTTTAGTTTTGCACTGTATCTATCTACTGTACAAATATCTCATACCATATCTATCAGTATAAATATTTGGACTTTCAACAATTTTATAAATGTTGAAAATGTAATAATGAATAGGTTTAATTTAAATTTGGTATTTATCCATGCTAAATTAAAGAGTTCTATTAAATTTTGATTTCACTGTTCATTTACACATAAAAAAAAAAATCACGATTTTTTTTTACAAATTAATAGACTTTTATACAATTTAAAATTAAAAAAATTATCTGAAATTGTGAATATATAATAATTATTTATTTACATTCAAATTCAATTAACGTGTCATTGAAAAAGGAATAATTCTAACTCAACAAACTGACTGATTTAATGGCAGACCTGTCACTATTAATTGAAGTATTGCTATGCATCGCACACTTCAAACTGTCAATGCAAATCTCAAGCATTTTAATCTTTTTTTCAGAAACCTCTTGACCTTGTCAACAAAAAAAATCATTATTTTCTTTAAAAATGTGTCAACTTTGCCAACAATATTATTTAAAATCTTTAAAGGACCGGAAGGTAAATTAGATAAAAAAGCCACATACAGTATATATGGAAAAGAGTAAAACATTTAAAACAATGGATGAAGAGTTTGAAAAAGGAAGACTATTTTCAGATGTGTCCTTATTGTCGAATAGTACACATTTCCTAGGTTAACCAGTACAAATGGATAAAGAGTTTGAAAAAGGAAGACTATTTGTAGACATGTTCTTATTGTTGAATAGCAGACATGTTTCCTAGGTTAACCAATATAAATTGATCCTAAGATCACCTTTCCAGACTGTTCGTTTCCTATTTCACGACACCCACAAATACAGACCCATTATGAGAGCTTCAACATATGAAAACATGAATGATGCAAGTAAATTGCAGTATATTTGGCTACCAAGGGAGCAGTAGACCGAAATATTTGAATACTGTACAAGAAGAGAAGTAGACTATGATAATGTCTCTAGGGGGCAGCAGATAATGGAAATCTAGGTGATGATGGTATTATTATATTTTACAGGTCTCTCTCTAATTAAAGACCACTTTTGGGACCGGGGTTTCCATGGTCTTTAGCGATTGGTGCATCGGTTGTGGCTTGGACTCCCAAATCGCTTGTGTCCTTGGGCAAGGCACTTTATCTACAACGGTTGCCTCTCTCCACCCAGGAGTACAAGTGGGTACCTTGTAGGTTTGAACACAACTGTGCTGATTACTAGGTGCAATATTATGGAATTCTCCCCAGGGAGCTGAGTATGTGTTCCATATGTGTTTGATCCAATGACCGGGGTAGTAATGTGAAGCGCTTAGTGGCATTGTGCATGAAGCGCTATATAAGAACGACATATTATTATTATTATTATTATAACAAAGATAAAAGAAATTTTTTAATTTGGGAATAGTGGTCTTTAATTGGAGGTGGTCCTTTATTGAAGGGGTCTTTCATTGGAGGGAGACCTGTATTTGCATTTCAAGAACATTATGTGAGGGAGTTATTTACCTGTCTGTCTATTAAGAAAACACAAGAACTCTTGGCATCTGACTAAAGCTGAACTGAACTAATTTTTATAATTGGTATGTATGCCTTATGACACATCAGTTGACCACAGACATATCTTTAATTATTTTTATTTAGTTATTTGTATAGCGCCTCTACAGATACGAATCGCTTTTGTAATCATCGCAGGAGAGGCAACCCCACCAGGTACCCATTTTACACTACTGGGTGGAGAGAAGCAATACAGATAAAGTGCCTTGCTCAGGGACACAAGCGAACTGCACAGCAAGGGATTGAAACCCCAAGCTCAAGGCTGAGTTAAACCAAACCGTTCCTGCTACGTCAAACCATGGATTGGATTGGATTTATTCGGTGTAAACACCAAGGGTAGCCCAAGAAAGTCTAGAAGAAGACTTATTTCCAGTGGGGTCCTTCTGGAGACAATCCGCAACTTTTTTCCGAAGAGTGTACTGCATTCTTTAATGTGCACATGGGCCATAATGCACACAGGACCAACGGCTTGAAAGACGGTGCTCTATTGTAACTTGTATTTCAGCCCTCTAGCGGAAACACAAGGAGAGGCAACGATGGGAATTGAACCGGGGACCTTGAGATCTCCACAGTTCAGTGCACACACACCAGATTAGCCAACTGAGCTAAGCTGCTCTCACTTCTACAAAAAAAGTCCATCCATCCATTACTAAGAATTACTCAAGTACCCAAGTGGACACCAGCATCTTAAAAATATAGGTTATAAAAAAAATAGCAGAGTATGGTACGATAAAATATTAATCAAATTAAACTACTTACAGAGGTATTAATATATCAGTAAGTTACAATATTAAGATGTAGATTAGTAATTTTAGAGATAAATCAAACAGAATCATTTCCTCCAAAAATTACTAATAAATTCTTAAACAAGTTTTTAATTCCACCAAAAACCTTGAAATGACAGCTGCAACTAAATTTAATTTTTAAAACTAAAACAAAACCTTTTAGTTTACAGCAATACAAATTTCCTCCTTGTATATAATAAAACATGAATTGCACTTAAGTAAATAGTTGCAATATGTTGATGATTAAATCTTATCATTTGTTCACATATATCATACTTTTCTCTCGTTTTAAATACTTGAATTTAATGAGTGCATATTTGCCGATTTCTTTGAGAGATGGTTGTTGATGATTGGCAAAAATCTGAAATTGTTTTGCTTTATAATTTCTTCACCAGCCAAATGCAAAACGTTCCTTGTATATCAGTGGTTCATATTATTAATTATTTCAATTTATTTATTGTATTATATATATTTATATAAATTTATATGTATACAATTACATATATTTTATGTATTATGAAATTCTGTACTCAGACTAACAAATCTGGTAGGGATGGAATATGTTGGAGGCAACCAGGATGTTTTTGTGCTTAAAAAAGAAGAAATTTACTAATAATTAAGAATAATTTTAAGAATGTGCAAATTGAGAAGAAAATTGTGCAACTAAAACAGTGTTTTTTCAAATATTTTACTTTCATTTATAAATCATGCTGTAAATCTACAATTTTTGGTACACCGTATAAATATATAAAATTAGGTTTTTATGGAGAGTTTTATTTAACATTTTATTTTAATTTCAATCATTTGTGTACAAATACACATTATCATATTTGTATATAATTATTAGAGATGTAACATAATTCAATATTCCACATGCAAATGGCACTTAACCTTGAAAATGAACATGAATGGCAAAGATTACACCTGCGTTCCTCAATAAAACATGTGCAGGTCCTTTAAACTCATTTCCTACAAAAATATTGACCTAATATCATATATTACATTTAATCACATAATCATATGCAGATGCAAACATACAAAATAATTTGTCCCTCAAGAAATGCAAGATGTAGTTTGTAACTCATAAATGCTCCAAAGGGCAAGATTACACAGGGTGGGCCTATGTAGCAAAAAGGCAAGACTACATATAGCGTACTGACAGTCGTAGGCACACTGTCGTTTGCCTTTTCTGATTGCTGGGCATAAGTATGGTAGCAAAGAAGCGTATCATTTAAACGTATACTACCCTGTCACAAAAACCACAAAATTGCGTTTGGTATGATAATGGTTTGATAATGAGTTGATATTCCGTCTACTGCTTTTGCATTCTACAATGTACATTGTAAGAAGATCGTATTTGAGTTTATAACTACACAATAGATCGTGAAATATGAAAAAAGGCTGAAATTGAGAACGTTTCCTCCATGGCAGAGCTCTTGTGTCAACTTTATTAAACAGATTAAATTTGAAGGAATGAGTAAGTGAAGTATACTTCTTATTATGGACTTCTATTCTAAAAATGAAATTGACAATTTGTGCGGTCTAGACCAATGATTAAGTTATTTTTGAAATGTTAATAATGTAAGTTCTCATCGTAAGTCTCAATTAAGTAGGTCAGTTGAGACTGAATAATGAATGAAACATCTTGATTGGTCAAAGATAATTAGCAGATATCTAAACTCATCAACAAACATTGTCAATTAGTAAAGCAACTAATAAGTGTTATCTAGAAGACTGATTAGAATGCATTGTCATGGCAGTTTCCTTGCATTAAATAATTCATTTCTGATGAATGTTTTTATCTTAATCTTAAAAAGTATTAAAGAGCATTACATGCTTACAATCTTGAATTAAGTTTATTAACAATAAAAAAAAATAAAAAAAACCATTTCTCCAACTGCATATATTTATCTTTTAACTTAATAAATACATTGTAAAATTTTAAAAAATATTTTCAATATAAAGATGATTTAGGGATTATTGTTTTAAAAACTACACTATTAAAGTTCTCAATTATCTCTGGATTCTTGCTGTTTTTCTTGAGTATTAATATTGATGTTTCATATCCATTTAGGCAATAAAAATTTCAGGCAAATTCCAGAGTGTTAGATTGTTATGGGCATGCATACTATTTTAAACAAATAATACAGATTTTAGTCATAACACTCCAAAACAAAAAGCAGTCCACATGCATATAAATACACCCCAACCCAAATGCAGCTTATTTGAAAAAAAACAAACAAACAAACCTTTATGCCCCAGCATACCACTACCAGTATCACTACCATCAACACCACCAAATACCACTGCCATTACCATTTACACCACCACATAATATTATTACTACTACCATTACCAATACTACCACATACCACAATCACCACCTCTAACATTATCAATACAATTACCAACACTAATTACATGCTACTAACATCACCAATACCACAATATCACCACACGTTACTACCACCACCACCACACTACAAATACCACTGCCACCAGCAAACTAAAGTAGCAATGCTTTTTATTTTTTCCGCCTTTAATGACTATAAACTACACAGATCAGCGACTTTCTGCCACAAGGTTTGTGTAATGTGAGAGTACACCCACTTGGCAACATGCTAGATGCAAGATGCTGACTTTGTACCTGTCCCAGTAGTAGGAATTAAGAGATGATTTACAGATGATGCTTAATAACACACCATGGATAGATATAGATTGATAGTACATAGACTGAGAGACAGACAGGTTGGTAAGATGTAGATAATAGATAGTGAGGTTGATAGAGGTAGATAGATGGAAATATAAATTTATATTATTGATATGTATAGATAGATCTATAGTCGTTAGTTTATGTAAATACTCACCGTAGAATCCTACGACCGAAGAGTTAGGCATATTAGAGGCGATGGAATGGAAGGAGCTGTGTTAGTGGCCACCGAAGTTCAGACATGACTATTGTATGATTGATGTCAGATGCTACTAACATCATGTGTGCTACATACATGGTATTCAAATGACAACTAGAATTTATTATTTTCTCTTTTTCCTAAAATACGATGTTACTAGAGTTTACCCACCTACCCACCTACCAAGTGGTTCTTAAACTAAATTCTATAAGAAATGGAAGCATATTGTCTGGAATTTGATATTTACTTAAAACTAAGAAAATATAAAATACATAGAAACATATTAGTTTCCAATAAGTTGATTAAAAAAAGAGAGGTGACAGATTGACAAACCCTTAAAGTCAAGTTATTCTACTGGCAATGGTAGATTGATTTTGAAACATGTCTAAAATCCAAACATTATGCTTACACATTCCATTATCAAAATGTCCATGAGAGGTGCTGGGACAATGCGGATACATTCCCAGTCCTCAATCAAATACCACTATGTGGATAAGAGAAGGCAGATTCAGAAGGGGAGATGATGATATGAAAGAGAGCAAAGGAAATTTCAATGCAATGTGTGTTGCAGGATTTGTGAATCTGGGAAGTTTGTTCAAACATGAGTCCTATAAGATATATCCTATAGGATCCATGAGCCAATTAAACAACATTTAAAAACAATACAAAAATTAATTTGATACAGTACTAAAAAAATTGGATGTAACTTATTAACAACTTCACAGAAATAACACATCACTGGGATAACTGAGATTTCAATTTTGACTTCTTATTTTTTCTGACAAGAACAAAAATATTCCATGAAAACCCACCTTTGCTCTTCCTCAGCTCTTTTTCTTTCTTCTTCACGTTTTCTCTCCTCTTCCAGTCTGCGTTCCTCCATCATTACCTGGAAGAGTTGGCGAGCTTTGCGACCTCTTTCATACCTTTGTAGCGTAATGGTGGCATCTTTAAGGTTAAGGAATCGACGTCGTTGTCTGTGCATCTGTGATTCAAGGTAACAATCAAGTAAGTCACAGTATCCGCCTACGCTCTCTTCTATCAAAATCATGTTTATTCTATTTCACAGTAAAATGAAAGATTTTAAAACAAATTTAGACTTTGTGGTTGTTGACTCCCTAAATCCCAACCAAAGCCGCTATCCATCTGATCATCACAACCTCCTAGATAAATATGCTTGCTTACTTCAAGCCAAACGGCATAAACTACGAAACCATTTGAAAGTGTTACCGAAGCGATAGTTGTGTGGAAGTTATTTATATTAGCCGATTTCCTGACTATGTATGAAGTTTCAGAACATTGCCGCATCAACTAACTTGAGGCAAGTTGATTGGTCAATGACCTCCTTGGTGTTTTGTAATTGCCTGCAAGGGCTTCAAGCTTTTTAATAAAATAACATTATTAGTTAATAATTTGTAATACAATTATAACGGATAGCTATGAAGAAAGCCAAGAATAATAATTGTATTTGTTAGAGAATTTTTTTTGTTAGAATTTTAATGTTTTGAGACAAATAAATGAAATGAGAATTGAATTTTATGTATTTCATCAATAAAAAAAATGTATAAATCAATAAACGTATGTGAGATTAATACTACAGTAGCTTTGGTTGACTTTATTTATTCATTTAGGGCCAATGACCTACAAATACTGCACGGAAATAAACATGTAAGTAATTAACAAAAATAACTATTTTACCTAAAAATAGACGAGTGCTTCATTACTAGGAGACTGGCTTTTTATCGTACAATCAATATAAATAATAAGTTTATAAATTTTGAATATTTAAAATATTATGATCCTAAAAATTGTAAACCCTAAATAATTAACATGGTTCTATCTGATACAGTAATTTATAGTTTTAAAGTTTGTTTAAATGAGCAATGTTTGTGTGTAGAACTGACCTTGGCATAGCGTACCTGGTAAAACATAATGAGGCATAATCTAAACAAACTCAACTTCCTTAAAACGTCCCAATACACTCACTGATTGCATGAATCATTAAAAAAATGATAATTATCTCAATAATAAACTTAATTTGTCATCTTCCCTAACATGCTGACCACAATTGTTGTTAAACATCTCACTCTGTAATATGACAAGTTGGCATGAGTGTAGCCTGAATCTAGGAGAATGATGTGGCATGTGTGTAGGCCCTATCTAGGAGCATGATGTCACCAGATAAAATACATCTCTATGATGTCATCATGTGAACTTGAAACCAAATGAATACTTCAAATAGTAAAGAAATCAATACACTTTCTTATGTTTAATATAAATTATAGTAAAAATTATAGTAAAATATAATTATAGTATTCTGAAAATTGTTTTTGTACAAGTATAGCTCAGTGGCGCATCTAGGAAATTACAATAGAGGGGGGGCTTGGGGAAGGACTGTTGACAAATGGAGTCTACACTACCTCATCCCCACCATGGTTGGGGCTGAGGCAACAAAATTTATGATTATGGGACCTCTAGATGGCCGGAAATGGCACTATCAGACTTAAAATTTGAAAATAATTATTTTTTCTAAAATTGTTTACAATTTTGAAAAATTTAGGGGGCCTGGCCAGCTGGGCCCCCATTAAATCCGCCTCTCCAGCTAACTAGGTTCTATACAAGTAGAGCTAACCAGGTTATGTACAAGTGTAGCTAACTAGGTTATGCACAAGTATTTATTAGCTAACCGAGTTATAAACAAGCAGTGGCAGCGCCAGTGGGGGGCAGAGGGACTTAAGCCCCCCATCGGTCTGGTCATGGTCATGCCCCTTCCCCCTATCGGCCAAAAAAAATATGCCTAGTTTTCCCATCCCACCCATTTCCGGCCATCTAGAAGTCTCAATTTAAAAAAAAAAAAAAAATCTTGTTTTGGAAGGGGACACCCCTTCTAATACCCACCCCTGGCTCTGGCCTTCGGCCCTCAAATAACGCTGAGCGCTATAGTTATACCCATAAATACTATTCCCCCCCTTAGCATCCCCATTTGGACATCTTAGCCCCCTCCCCATAAATTATATCCTAGAGCCACCACTGTATACAAGTACAGCTAACCAGGTCATGTATGAGTATAGCTAACTATGTTATGCTGCTGCTAAGATGCTGTTCAATAGAATTGATGTGGGTCAACAAATATGTAAATGAAATCTTATATATAATACTGGTTATTTCATATTTTACTCTAGCCATGACAATATTTATATTGATTCATCTTTCAGCACTAAAAAACCCTCTGCAATGCTACAAAAATTAGTTCCCTAAATTTTAGCTTTGCCAGATCAAAAACAGGAAAGTTAAGTTGAAATCTGTAGCAGCAAGCTTACGAGCTACGCGATGACTAAGTATATTTTGTTTTCATTTAATCAATTATTGCTGCGGAAGTTAGAAAAAGACTGTGCCAATACAAGTCGAATTACTTCAATTAACAATCTCTCCTAATTAAGTAATAACAAACAGATATCACATCTTACAAATGTAAATTTTTGACAATATTCAAAGATTATTGTCAACTAAACTATTAATCATGGAATTCTTTTCTTTGGGTGGTCCTGGTACAGATTCAACCTATTATTAAGGAAAACAAAATTAGCGATTTCACTTCAATTTATTTGTCGGAAATATTTCTGGCTCTAATTGGAATCAATATTAAGTTATTTGCATATGGCGTCTTGAATAATCTTGATTAAAATTGAAATGAGCCTCTGTGAATAAATTATTTATATTCTATTAACTTTCATCACTTGGAATACAGTAATTTTATTATCGATTTATTTTTAATGTTATATTTACTATTAAAGTTAGAGACTTTATTGTACACAATATTAAAGTAAGTTAGTATTGTTTGTATTTTGCCAAGTAACAGATGCATGTTTCTCTTTTCTTTGAGTACCCCCTTAAATTGGCTGGTAACCAACTTTAGAAATTAACAAAACCAAATTTATTACATCATAATTCCTGATGATGATATTAAAGGTCTGCATAATACTTAATCAAATGACATGTCTTACTTTATTTGGAGATGCCTTTATACTGAATAAATAATAACTTGTTTGTGTTTTTAAATCTGCAACCTCTATGTTTTTAAATACATGACTGAAAATTTATTATTGATTTAACATGAATTGTACTTTTAGAGTGATTTTTAAAACAACAACTGCTTTCATTCTACACTACTTGGGCACACCTATATTTGAACTGGATATTAGAATGTATGTAGAAATGATACTCTCTACACACAAATTCAAGGCATCTGATGACAGTATCTGCTGCAACATTTTCTACACGTTGATAGTTATGTTGATCTGAGCATGATTTGAGCATGTTCCAGGTATCTGGAACCTTCATGCTAAGCCTTATGCAGTAGCAAAGCTCTCTCCTATGCAGTACCAGTTACCCTTATCCTAAAGCCTTGAGCAATATCTAGTCAATGCCTAACTTGTCAATTCACTCCGTATGGCTTTGCTTGGAAAAGTGCCAGAGGATTGAGTACTGGAAGAGCATTTGTTTCCTGTAGTCGGCAAATTATACATCCTAAATTCAACTACCTCATTTTCGGTTCATACTCATAAGGACAAAATCTCATTCAACAAAATATATATTTCTGATTTATACCTTTAAATTTTAATTAATTTTTTTAAGTATTTTTGACAATATAATATATTAGAAACATATCAATGGCATTGACCTAGATTAGTATTTTTTAATCTCTTTTTTTTGGTTTCATTTCACACCCAACAGCAACATACACATTTCATATACAAAGCACTGAATATGAGGCTTAAACACAGTTGTCTAGTTGCGAGCAAAAACCCAGATTTGAAGGAAGTACCTGGAATACCTGGACCAGTAAGCTGGAGCACCTCTGTTTGTTTTCATAAGTTATTCGCTTCACTGGAGTTGTACCCTCTCAAACAAAATTGAATAAAATAAAGCCATGATATTATATGATTATTTCATTATTTTGGTTGTCTGTGTTTGTTTTAAGTGACTTACCCTCCAGTACTTTTGCACAAAGACAATCTTAGCAATAGTGATCTTGTATGCTTTCCTGAAATTCAATAGTTTAAAAATATATATCATCAGAATTAATTATTTAATAATAATAATAATAATAATAATAATAATATGTTGGAGAATCAATCTTTTTCTTTTCTAGCTGGTGGTGAACAACAATATACAAAGTTCAACAACAACAAACTCATTATATCAACACTTTTATGTATTACAAAAATATAATATTTACAAATTTTAGCAACTCAATTTTTTCAACAGATTTTTAGGGTTTTCTTCTACCTCAAGCAGTGCTTACAGTTTTCCCCTATCTATTACTGTGTCAATTTATATGCATGCATGTATAAATAAATACATAAATAGATATATGATGAAAAAATTACTTCATCATTTCTTATCAAATTTAAAACACTATCAACATTTTTTGCTAGTCATCCTCGTCTAATTTTTAGAGGAATATGGTGCAATGGATTGCTAACTTATTAGCAAATCCCAAGGGGCCACTTGGAAGTAGGACCCTCGTCTTCAGTTGAAGGTGAGGTTTTGTGATCTTTTTCTGGCTACAAATGGATTAATGTAGCGCCAACTGAATTTTTAGTCTACACAGCAGTGTTTAGAATTGTATTCAAATATAACAAGTAAAACATTGCCAACATTTTTCAGCCATGGTCAGTAAATATAATGCAGCCCCAAAGACTATAAATCAAAACAATAGCCATTAGGGCTACAGCCTGTGAAATAAATATATTGTTAGACAAGAAACTGCTAATGCATTATTTTTATAAAAAATGAAAACCAATTTATTTAATAAATTAACACATTTTAAATTATGTATTAAAACACAATATGCAAGCATTTTTTGCCAAAAAACAACACCTTTTTAATAACTACTGTGATAATTTATTGAAATAACTTTTTAAACTATGGTTAAAAATAAATCTTACTACAATTTTGAATAGTAATAAACAAGTTTAAAGGTTTAGGTTTATCATAAGACTACATGCCAAACATATAATATTATTAATAGTTATCTGTTTTCCTTATTAACGACAATTGGGAAAATGTTTTCCTGATGTAGAGCATCTCTTGAGTATATAGGTCTGACTGAAGTAGGCTAACACAGCTAAAGTAAGAATATATCTTTAATAATTGGTAATTATAATTTCTAATTTATTACTAATACTTGTACACTGATACAGTTGTCTCTATTTAATATTTATATTTCGATATATTAAGTATATAATAATTTATATAATTTATAAATGTATATAAATAGCTACTGATTGATATATAACACACATTTTTCGAAAGAGAAAGTATATAAAACAACAACAGGAACGTAGGGAGGCAAACTTGTTCTATCTTGGAGTCTATTTTGTGAAAACAAAACAATTACTTACTCTCCCAGAAAACAATCCAAATTAACAACAAATAATGTGAAACACCTTTGCAGCTGATTCTTATTAAGCAGTTAAACAAACAGATTCGTTGACACAATTAACAAATACAAGAACACTCATGATATATTAGATTCTGATAGCTTTCATCACTACCACGACTTAACATGATTGTCATTAATTATCTTCTTAGCTTTCATGATTGTGCAATTTCTTTTAAAACACTAATTATTACTTTTGTAGATTCTTAAAAAAACACCTTGAGAAAATGTTTATTGTAGAAGATGCTATGGAAATGACGGCCCATTATCATTAATGGAGGGTAAACATATATTTATTTATATACAAACCAACAGCGAAAATAAGAATCACCACTTACAGGATTGCAAATCTGTTGCCATGTATAGCAACCGGGTCTACTCTACACCCTTAGACACAAGCAGGTGTTACCCTGGGAAAGGGACCTTAAGCTAACCTTTGACCCACTTGAATGTATATTCAAGAGCTACTCTACACATTTAGTCACGGTGTGCACTACTTTTCAGCATTAACACAAGTGTTATACTCTGGAATTTCGTAATGTCTAGGTGTAAGTATTGAGCTATAAAAATCCTAGCTTCCAATCAAAAATTAGAATACTAATGAACATGTAACATAGTTAATGCTGTTCATTATTCTTGTGAGTTACACAGATGTTTTATTGGGTTTGGTTTGGTATTCTATCAAGGGGCTGAGAACGATCTATCAACATATAAGTGATCAGCCTGCAAAGGAAACTGGTTCTTAGCACTTCAATTACATATGATAAGAATTCTAAGTAGACCTGGCAATATCATCAAAATTAAAAGGTTTTCTTTTTTGTCAAAGCACAATCCATCTAGGGTAGCAAAATTTTACACGCACGAATCACGTTTTATCATTCACACCTACAAATCAAATTAGTGTTTGATAAGTTAAGACATGTAATTTGTCTTTCCTGTTTCTGTCATTTCAACGTTAATTGTACTTACGACAACACTTTTTCTTCATGGATTTATCTCGCTAGCTACCATAGACCAATATAAAACATACTTTAAATATATGACAGAAACTGACAATACTGATCATTTTAAAATCCTAGAATCAAGCACTTTGATAAGTAATTTAATTTCTTGTACACACCGTATTCTACACTGTGCCTAAATATTGAAGTTCATAAACCAAAATGCTGACAGACTATAAAGGAGACGGTTCATGATATTGGGAGCTGAACTCCCAGTGCAATACATCTCGGAATGTTTATTCACAGCATAATATATGTTATATGACTGATTAATCACTGCCCTACCCTATACCATATAATAAGACTACCCTTCCCTTATGTACCCAAACCTATGTAATTACCATATGTGGCAAAGACAAGCCAAACCAGTTACTTGTTGCAAAAATTGATTTTGAGTTATTAAACAGTTGTTTAAAGAACAATATATGAGAAATCAGCCTTCAGGCATTTCTCATGCACAAACAATTATCAAATCCTTAAAAAGTGTTGTTTTAACATTGAAAAAGGGGGAAATAACAGCATAGCATGATGTTATAGATATATAAAGGTTCGTTTAGTGCAAAAAAATAGATTTTTAAAAACTTGACATTCTAGCATGTCTTGGCCATTTTCTCTGAAACACGATTTGCGACAAGTGACTGGTTTGGCTTGTCTTTGCCACATGTCTTAAAAGAGGCTTTCAAATGGCTTTTTAAATGTAAAATATATCTGAAGAGCCTTAACATTACAAGAATTAAACAACATTACAAGAGCTAGACTATCACTTAACACCAGATGGCTAGCTCCAAATAGTTATTCAGACACTAACAGTGGAAATGGATAATGCATAATGAGTTTCCTGAAAAGCATTACAGTTTATGTGTAATAAAGTTAGATTGAATAAACCTTTCCGTATAGACTATGTAAGATAAGTTTTCAGCTTATTAACTTCTCACTCTATTCTGGCAGGTTTGATAACATTTACTGCATTGTAGAGGGCACACTTCATTAATTGTCTTTTAACTATATATTCCTAAATTTATTTATTTTTATTTATTTATTGCAGCTTTCCTTAAAAGTAGATATTTATTGATCTCCAAAAACTAAACTAATTATAAACTACCAAATTACAGTGGTTGTGCAGGTATATATGAGAAGACAGCAAAAAACCTGTCTATTCCAACATACTTGCACTAAAAATTTGTTTTCCCCTAAATAATCAGAGATTAAAAAAAAATCAATAGAAAAAATTCAAAGGTTCATTTGTTAACATGTTCAATAATAAATAATCATATTCAACAATAAATAATGTGCAAACAGCTACCTACCTAGCCCTGTAGCCTTTGTAGCAAGCCTTTATTTTAGTGACAAACTTCTCGACCTTCTCAGCACGGTCTCTCTCCAACTTTATCTCCAGGTCCTCCTTCAGGAATACCTTAGTCTTGCCAACTTGCCATTTCTGATTGTTCTCATCATACTTAGTAAGCAGAGCAATACACTTATGCTGGGAGTGTGATGAAGATAATTCTCTGCCTATCAATGGACTATACCTAATAAAGCAGATACAAAAGTCAGCAGTGATGTTGGTAATCTATGAGTGTGATATGTACCTAGATAAACCAAATATTTGCCATTGCTCCTTCAAATAAACACTCCACACACTCCCACCACCCCTACCACCCACACACACACACACACACACATACAAAAGAAATAGAATTGCCCATCTCAGGCCACCACATGACACCAACGCCCATAGGCTTCTTTTAAGTCCTTTGAGAACAAAACCTGACCAAGATAATTGTACACTACATACTCCAAGTATTGAAATGGCAAGCATTTCAATACTTGGAGTATGTATTATACTATCACATTTGTACACACACATACACTTTCAGTGATTAGAAAAGTTTATAGGAATGAAAAACAAATACATTATATTGAATAGATTGCGAGGGGTGTCTACTACAATTTTGCTTGTCAATGGTGCTGTGATGTTATTGGTAGTCATGCCTATGCAGGTAGGTTAACCGATATTTTTTTTTTTTTTTTGAGGTTGTTTTTGAATTTCTATCCTATTTTGAGAGACTTGAGCACTATGTGCTGGGGACGTAGTTATCATGATTGACTTATAAATTCCCAAATGACCTTCTTAGAGAGATATAGTTGCAATTATTTAAAATGAATACTGAATACATACAAAATGAACATTTATATATACCTATTGACAAAGTCATCAAAGAGTCTTCTAACAGGGAAGCCAGCCCTCCTGATTTTCACTGTCTCCAGCATTCCAGAGTACCGAAGTTGGTTTAGAGTTAAGGTTTTCTCAAACAAATTTGGAGCCTAGAGAATAAACAAGAACATTGAATATAAAACTACAGTAACTGTTATAGCTTAAAATCAATGGGTTTTTTCAAAACAAAGCCAAATTACATTTAATTACCTGAGGAAGAACTGATGCTACACTTGCATCACATTTCCAGTGTGTGTATAAACACAAGTGGAAATGACACTGCCTCATCCGTTGTTGGATCACTCTAAATAAGGCACCACACCAAATTATCTACCATGTGTTGCATACACAAATTCATTTACTAGTACAATATAAAAATTATATAAAATTATAGATAAATAAGTAACACCTAATAGCTTGCAGATTGATGACGCACACTAAAGCAAACCCTAATGGTGTTCTCTGTCAGTATCTATTCAGATTCAGAATTACTTCAACCTCTAACTCCTTTTCTGTTTCATTGCGTCATCTAGTCACTCATATAAATAATAATATAAATAAACATCACATCCTTTATTTCTTCTTACTTACTCACACTGTATTAAATAAAACCTAATCCAAATACTGTTTGTAACATACCTTTGATGAGTTTGGTTTAATACAACGAACAAAATAAGGGTTGCAAGCACTAAGTGTAGACATCAATGAATGAAGTGATTCTTGGAATTGAGAGCTAACCGTTGGTTTCTTTCTCATGTTTTTATTTACTCGTGGTTGGGATGATTCCTGTATATCCTCAAATAAATCATAAATGAAGTCAGATCTGAAAAAATATAGATATGTAAGAGGTAAAATTCAGAGATATTAGAAAAGAAGCTGTCAAAATGGTAACATGCTTCTACTTTTACCAAACTTTAAGATAATGATAATTATTAAATAGAGTACCATAAATATATTTCTACAGAAAACATGTATGTGTAAAGAGAAGCAATATTTTTTATATATATATTTTTGATGGTGGTGTCCTTCTGGTAGAGGTTGGGCAATACACTGGAAGACAGTCCCCTACTCTTCGTCCTTCCTTCTCTTCGTCCTTCCTACTCTTCGTCCTTCCTACTCTTCTTCCTTCCTACTCTTCTTCCTTCCTACTCTTCTTCCTTCCTACTCTCCTTCCTTCCTACTCTCCTTCCTTCCTACTCTCCTTCCTTCCTACTCTCCTTCCTTCCTACTCTCCTTCCTTCCTACTCTCCTTCCTTCCTACTCTCCTTCCTTCCTACTCTTCTTCCTTCCTACTCTTCTTCCTTCCTACTCTCCTTCCTTCCTCCTCTTATTCCTTCCTACTCTTCTTCCTTCCTACTCTTCTTCCTTCCCTCTCTTCTTCCTTCCTACTATTCTTCCGTACATGGGCCATCATACTGTACACATGACCAACGGCTTAAACATCTCATCTAAAAACATCTTATCTAAATCAATCAATTATTTAGTTAATCAATTGATTAGTCAGTTAATTACAGTAGAACCTCGATTTTACATACAGTACGGGGCCAGAGGGCGTACGTAAATCGGGGGATTCGTAAAATTGAGGTTGGGTTAAATTTGTGGTAACCTTTGACCTAATACGTATGTTATGAACGAACGATGTTACCTAGGCTAGACCTAGCCTCTAGGGCTACGAATAAACCATGTGTTTAGTGTTTTTATTGATCACTTTACGATGCCATAATAAAGTGTTCAAATAAAACCATGTGTCTAGTGTATGAATTCATCACTTTATATCTTTTATTTAACTAAAGAACATGAAAATATTGTAAGTTTACCTATACGACAAAGGCTATTCTAAACAACAGAGCTGTGGTGTTGTCTGGGCCTGCAGCCATGTGTGCTGCACTGGGTGAGCCTACCAATTAGGGTTCGTGTATGTGAAACAGCAACCATGTGCACTGCACTGGGCGAGCCAATCAATTAGTGTTCGTGTACAAAACTATGCCTACATAGCTTCGTGTAGAAAATTCGACCAGACAAGTTTTCCACACGAGAATAAGGAGGAAAGCAATTATTTTGACCACCATCGGTAATTGTTCATCTTACTTAGTTCACATGGTTTTAGATTACAACAACCCGGTATTAGACACAATCAATATTGCTGTTTAATGAAAATACGTTGCATTATGGTTTGTTTATTGTTATAGTTTATTGTTGTAGTCTTTTTAATTATGGTTGCTCTGAAAAGGGCTGTTTGTTATGAATATTTTCGGGGGTTTTGATGACTCCATCGTCGATAGGAGGCGTACATACAACCGAGGGTTTGTATAACTGGGGTACGTAAAAACGAGGTTCTACTGTACTTGAATAGTCCACAAATAATTCAATAAGGTACAAACCTGCTTTCTTTTATTGCTGTGAGCATTTCGTCTCTGAAAGTGTCACGGTTTTTCTCTAGGAAGCCTGTTGTCTCATAGAAAACATCACCTGCATAATGTTTGATCCCAAACCTAGAATCAGTCACTCGGGGCTTGATGTAGAAGGAATTTTTCTGCAGTGTCAAAATGAAAATCATTAAACTACTATATTACATGTTTATTAGCACTGGATGACTATAAGTTTTTGCCATTTTTTCACAAATATCTTCCAAGACATTTATGTTCATTAATCGCCCAAGGACTATTAACTGACCGGGTAAATATATTATTCTTTGAAGAGGCTATTTATTTTCACAAGTGGAAATGGTGTCCCAGTGTTCTCCCCAGCATCATGGGCAAGTGTCATGGTAAGTGTTAAGTCCACCATAGTTGGGACTGACACAAGGTATTTTTAATAATTAGAAGGCATTGAAATGTCCTAAATTGCACTTTAAGACTAAATATATTAAATAATTTAACTGTTCCCTGCAGTTAAAAAGCATCATGGAAGATGTTCCAAGCATCATGGCCAACTGTCAAGCATCATGGTACCATGATGCTTCAAGGGCCTGGGGAGAACACTGGTGTCCTGAACTCAAATGATAAATATGAACTTTTCAATTACCAACTTGTTAAATACCAGAAAACATACAGAACTTAAACCATACTCAACAAAAATATGGCAAATAAAAAATTGAACAAATATAAACTTATGATAAAAGAGTACAGTACTTGGGACATGTCAGTATAGTGTAAGTCATATTGTAAGCCTAGGCCTAGTCATAAATGTGCGTCATGCATTTTACTAAAACTAGGCAAAAAAAAATTCTTGTTTTGGCCACGTTTTGGGAAACTCCCAAAAAATGGGTAGGTGGTTAGGTAGGTAGGTGGGAAAAATTTTTTTTTTGTTAACCAATAATGTGTTTATGCCTAAAAAGTAAAAATACACAAAAATACAATAAAGACCATCTTCAAATCTATATTGAAAGCAAAACAATCACATAACACTGTCGCATCACCTACTGTCCAGCAAGATAGGCCTATTCCAGCCTTGTTAGCTCATTAAACAAATATTTTTTGTTGTAGTCCAAAAAAAAAAAAAAAACTAAATGCCGAACCTCAATTTCGTACATTTTGGGTCGGTCCGGCGTCGCCAACACAATATTTTTTTCTATTTGGAACTATTTTAACACAAATTACCATCAGAACCTCAACAACTCACATATACAATATACATTTGCTTTTGATCTAGAATCATGTTTGGCTTTAATTGTGTTCATCTATTGATGTTTGCCTTGTACGTTCTTGTCCAAAATGTGGATGAGCTCTTCAGATTCATAGGCTCAAGTTGTTTAGCCACTTTTTATTAAAAAATGTTTCTATGTTAATTCACTTTACAAATCGCATGTAATTCAGGACAATACTCTATGTGCTGTAAATAGACCAATATTATTATTATGATTATTATTTATAGTCTGTGAGGATGTGTGCAAGATATTTTACATAATCTAAATATTTTCAAGGATTCCTTACATCCACTTAAGCATATAATACAGTACTCTATTTGCAAGAACTCATTTGACTTATTTTCCCCAAATACATTTTTCTCACTCCAATTGATACTTACGGCATGGTTGCTATGAAGCTTGTCCAACATGGTTACATCAGTTCCTTTAGGAAAACGACTTTCTTCGTCAATCAACGATAACAAACCTAGTTTCTGTAAGTCAACATTATGTAAACATTTGAATGTTTCAATATTTGAAGGAAAGATCAAATTAAAATATTTTAATGAATACTTAAACCTTCAAGAATGCTTGGAGTGTTTAAAGTATTAAGTACTTACTTTAACAACAAGGTCTAAACAAGAAGTATTTTACAAAATTAAGTACCTGACTGTGAAATCAAATCTTTCTATATAAGCATGATACCAAACAGAGTGTTTGAAGAAGTAAATATTCAATTACACAAACAATAAGAATCAAACAAGAAGTGTTTTAAGGAACTCACCCTAACAATAAGATCTAAACATTCTCCATTATCTTGCCAATCAATGTCGACCCAATCAAGTCCCTCAGCATTGTACTCATGTTGCTCCAGTGAGAAAATGTGTTTGTTGAAATATTCCTGCAGTTTCTCATTTGCAAAGTTGATGTTGAATTGTTCAAAACGATTTACCTGCATGCACAAATATTGACAACTGTTTAGTTAACAATTAAAGTGGCAGTCACACAAGTTAAAGTAATAATGTCATCATGCATTAATTCCATTCCAGTTCAAATGTAAACACACTGAGTTATTTATCCTTTCTATGGCTAAGACTGTCTACCAACCTGTATTAGTGTAATAAATGTACTAACCACAAGAAAAAAAGATGTGGTGGCTCTTACAGCAGAGCTGACTTAAAAGAGCTCTCTTTGGACATGGGTCAATTATAGTGGACATAAAAATTACAAGAAAAACATTATGTAAGATCATAAGTTTTGAAGATGTCAAAAATTAATAATGCCTGTCAAACGAAAAATTCTTTTCTCTAAAATGAGGTATCAGTTTCACTGTGTGGTTAACTCCACAGAAAAATATCAAGCATATAAGAATATTAAAACATACATGAACTTTTTATGTTTGTTTAGCAGAAATGAAAATCAATGTTACAAAAAAACTTTGAATCATTAGTTTACCTCAAAATTCTCAAATCCAAAGATGTCAAGAACGCCAACTGAATGGAATGTTGATTTGGTCCTTATTCTAACGTTGATCCTACCAATTATCCAATTAAAACATCTGGCATACAGATTCATAGCGAGGGAATCTCGCGAGTCTCTGGCCTAAATAAAAACATAGCAGTGAAATAACAGCATTGTACAGATTCATTGCAAAGGAATCTTGGCTAAAAGTAAACAAGATAAACCATTAGATTCAAGGCAAGGAAATCGCACGAGTCCTTTGCCTAAATTTAAAAAATATAAAAGTGGAATAGTACATAATAATCGAAGATACTTATTCAATTTTCAGAAGAAAAGGGTGAAGAACAAGGCCAAGGTCATGAAAATTCAATATTTTATCCTTGAGCATAAAGGAAAATAATGGAACCACCCCTCGTATTCGGGCAGTGCTCAAGAAAACAATAAAAACAATGGGTTATTCCATTATTTTCTTGAGGGTATGCTGCACACTCAAGAAAATAATGTGACTGAATATGATGGGGTGATTCTCTTATTTACTTGAGGGTATGCTGCAGTTTCGCCCATCATACACGGCCTGTGTATTGTTGGTACTGTCACATGGTACTATAATCAGGCGCAGGACAGAGGTATGCACTCTATGGAGTGACTGCTCTAGCTACCATTGTTGTCATTGATACCACCACCACCATCATTATTTCAAATGAGAAAATGCAAATTGTAAGTGTAGTTAACTTCCTAACATGACTCATAACATTTAATAGATGAATTAAAACATGTTGAGTAGTAGTACTGGTATGGCCATTTATACTGCGCCTTTTCATTGAGGTTATAAAGTGTACGCCAAATCTCCTAGTTCAGGGAAAAACTCACATCAGCATGTGATACAGCATTAAACTGCAATCACAAGTGGAATACATTACACTGAAAATGAGGTACAATGATACTTTGATTTAAAAATGAGCACATAACACCATTATTGTGGTAAAGCTGTGAAACAGCATTCTTTCTTTTAGTACCTTAATGCACATTTGCTTTACTCATGACATCACTCATTATATTGAAGTTGCTATAGTGATGTGAACAAAACTAACCTGATGTTCATCAAGTGGCGTACTAATTAGCTCTCCTCGCAGTAAACGGGTTTTCTCAGTCAGAGCATTAGCCAATTGGTATTCATCTACACTCAGCAAGTCTGCAGCTTGCTTAAGCACTATGAAAAAAAACAAAAAACAGAACGTGTTTATTTTTATTAAATATAAATACTTTTCATAAAATTATCAGGAATTATATAAACAATATAATAACAATAACAATATTATAAATGTTTATGTTCACCATTTCTAATGAGTTCGTAGTTAATTGAGGAAATATAATTGGAACTAGATAAGAAAGTATAATACATCAGGAATCCCGATGATGACATAATTAATGTTGAAATATTGAATCCCAACACGATGGCGTGTATTTCAATACTTGGAGTATGTATTATACTTTCTTATCTGAGATTAATCAGTGGACCTTTCGATAATTGGAACTGACTTCCTTGTTTGAAGGTCCAAAAGCATGCTGGTTATTGAGTGTGTTTTTACATATTCTATCCAACATCTTGGGTGGCCCCAAGCCACTTTAGCATGTAATATAATCTAAAAATGTGTTATGTAATTGATAATACACATATCATAAATTTGATCATGCTTAAAAAACTCCATAGCTTTATAATATCAGCTTGCTGCCAGTAATTCGTAGACATCTCAAGAATCTGCACAATTTAGAAAGTTGACTTATTGATGTTGATCGTCATAGCAACACACATTCTTAAGCTTCCGATTAGTAGTCTTGGTCAATAGTGTTAATTTTATCATCAAACATTTGGATATTTGACAAACAAAACCATGAACTGATTATAAATATAACACAAAAGTAACATACATTATTCAGATAAAACCAACAATATAATTTGTTCATTTGTTTAAAGTCTTTGATAAGCTAAAAAGAGTAACATTTTGGGATTTAATTAGTTTGTATACAGAAGTATATTTTTAGTTTTTAATTCTTAATTAGAATAAAATAAGTGTTTTTGACAAATAACAGCTGCTTTTTTTCAAGTAGGTTACTCTGTGTTTAAATCAAATTTTTGGATTTCTTTCCAGGTTTCATCTTAGTTTCCAGTATATCATAAAAAATGAAAACTATTTTTTTCTTCACATTTCTGCATTTAAATTTTAAAGTTTATCACTTCAAAAAGCCAGATTCTCTTACAACCTCTTTTGTTTCCGCATTCACTGCCAGTCAATTTGAAGACATTATTATTCACCTGTAATGATTTACGTTTAGAGGAGGGTGTAGGGTTACTGACACAGATGCTAATGTTTACCTGACATAGATGCGACTTGTGCTCCGCCAGCTGTGATAAAATCTAGATTTCCAATATGCAAGATGGCTGCTAGTACATCATACACGTCTGAAACCTGCTCTTCATTCAGTTTCATATCTCTCAGAGCTTCCTAAAAATAGATCAACATTTTGTTACAATACTTCACACTTTGACAGTTCAATTTTTTTTTAAATTGATTTATTTGGCATTCATAAAACAATTTAATTCAATATAACATTCCATTAGATTTGAAGTGGTTTGGGGGGGGGGTATAACATTCCATTAGATTTGATGTGGTTTGGGGGGGGGGGGGATAACATAAATATGCTTGTCAGGCTGTTCCACATTCTTTCATAAAAGTAAAGTTAAGTAGAATTCTTATGGAAATGGGAAAGGAATACAATAGCATAAGGCAGGTTTATCTAGGTTTCTTCATATTCAGAAAATAGATTGGAATAAAGACACAAATTATAATTATATATTTATTTGATTTAATTTAATTTATTCAATTTCGGGAAAAAAAGACATTAAAATACACATAAACAAGAAATGGACATAAAAAGAATATGAATGCCAAGGATTGTCAAAAGTGAAATAAATCATTGTTAAAGACTCTCCATTAACAGAAATAATAAATAATCTAAATGCAATAGATTAAAAATTTATTCATTTATTCATTAGTCATTAAACATAATCTGAATTCTTTTTGTAGAAAATTATTTTTTAAGGTTTTGTTTTTACTTTCTATATAATTTATACAGTTGCTTATTATAAGTCATCATCTAAACAGAAACCACTGCAGTGGAAATGCTCGGTTTCCATAAAATAGCTCACCCTATCGGCGCCAATCGCTGACAGTTGTTGGGAAGTTTGAACTTCGCTCAACTTTACAGATTGCAAATTGAGAGAGCAACTTAGCTCAGTCGGCTAATCTGGTGGTAGCTACTGTGTGCGCGCTGAACCGTGGAGATCTCTAGGTCCCTGGTTCAATTCCCATTGCTGCCTCTCCTTGTGTTTCAGCTGGAGGGCTGAAATACAAGTTACAATAGTGCACCGTCTTTTGGATGAGACATTTAAGCTGTTGGTCCCATGTGCATTTATGGCCCATGTGCACGTGAAGGAACGCAGTACAATCTTCGAAAAAGAGTAGGGGATTGTCTCCCAGTGTACTGCCCAATCCCCACCAGAAGGTCCCCACTGGAAATATGTCTTCTATGGGCTATTGGGGTTTACAACAAATAAATCCAATACAATCAATCACATTGCAAACGAATCAGGGTGCCTTCCCGATTGTGTCAGGGCAGCTAGCTATACAGACTGATTTGCAGTGCAATCGGCAAAGTTGAACCAGGTTCAACCTTCCTGACAATTGTCGACGACTGTTGCTGATGTGCGAGTGATTCTATGGAAACCAAGCTTTATTAACTTCTTCACTACTTAAACCTTGTAATGAGACTGATACAAGCAGCACATTAATTATATATATTGAAGGCCCTGAATATCAGCTGACCTAGGATAAGCTGGAAGGATCACACAATAAATATAGTAAAAATCAAACTAAACATGAGCTTACAAGGAGAGTATTCACGAATTTGGAAGGGAGTGTTCTTCAGGGACAGGGTTGCCTTATATGGGACAAGAAGAAATTTTTATACATTTTTTCCATTTGGTTAAGTGCAGTATGTCATTGTTTTTATCTTAACATTTTAAGCTTGTACTTATGCTTTCCTTTGCCATCATAAGTCTACATACGATTGATTCGCTTATTTATTTTTCAAAAGTTTTTCATGTCTAAAACCACAGATATGGAAAGCAAAACAGTATGATACAGTAGTTTCTGATGGCTTACAGCACTTTTACTAATGGAGTAGTTGAATTATAAAGTGCTTTTTTTACATGCATCACGCATGAAACTTGAGGATTGTGACTCTTAAATGAGTGTCCTGTTGCCCTCGTCAGTTTCACGTTGCTCATCACCTCTAACATCTTATTTACAACGTGTGTGCCAATGAGATCCGTTCTTTTGCGTTCTACCTGCCGCTAATCCTCGTCTGTAATTTTATGACTTTAATGGCTGCTTAGAGAATTCTAAATCCAAATGCACTTCTTGTGTTGTGTATTGCTTTGGATATATTTTGGTTCAGTCCATCAATCAGAATATGTTGATCAGACATGCTGGTATTTAACCGATTCTCAGATATCTTGTATGCAACTAACAGTGCCTTTAAGTTCTATTATCAAAATGATATATTCATTTTTGTTATTCTACCAATTTATAAAGAATGGTAACAACTTACATTAACATTAGTAAATATTTCGTGGTCATTCAGACTAGGATCAGCTATGCATCCACTCTGGTTGATGTACTTGTAACTTTCTGGAGCGCCTAAGCCAAGTTTTTCTGAAACCGACAAAATATCATTGTTATATTATACGATTTCCTCTTCATTTTCCAAAATAAAATTTCGTTCCATTTGAGAAAAATTTTGCATTACATGCCAGAGTGAAAAAAGTACAAATATAGAAGAAACCATCAATATTATTATTACCATTACACAATTATTGCAGAATATAATCATAATTTTAAGTATGCATATACCAATTAACATTAACACATTGATTCAAATCTATCAACATTATCATATCAAAGTTTCTATCATCAACACTGTAGTTTTTTGTTTATACACAAAAGTTATTTTTTTGCCAAATTACGTTTCATTTCTTCTGGAGCTCCTAACATTAATGCATAGAAGATGTGGTAATTCCGTTCTCCTGGATTCTGACCGACAACTCGATTCTAAAGAAATAAAAACAATTTCAATGAAAAATTTAAACATCAGTTTTGCAGAATGAATTTTATATCTTCTTGGTTATCATAATTAAGTATCTATGCAAAAATCTTATATTTATGAATTTATATAATTGGTATGGAAAAAACACAAAATAAGAAATTTAAATATTGAATTTATTTTCATTAATTTAATTTTTATTTATTATCCCAACAGAAAACATAAAATTTGTCACTTACTGGTGGGAAAACAAACAACAAATGGATACATTGTAAACATGAAGAATACCAATACAAAAATACAAACTAATAATAATAGTACTATAGTATTAATAGTAATAATAATATGTAATATGTACAGTTATTACATGGACGGTATATCATAAACAATATTTAACTGTACTAGTAGTAGTACTCTAGTAGAAATTATTATTTACAATAAATGTCAATAAAAGAATAAAAATCAGATAAACGAAGGCTAATAATAAAAACCCACATAGAAATAAAGACAAAATATATAACTAATATGAAGAAACTGATATTTCCAGTTGTGAGGTCAAGAATTTGGGTCAGTGCTGAGTGTCATGTGACATATAATATAACCAATCAAACTGACTATAAAATCAGATGCAGAAAATGTATTTATTATTAATATGATATATAGTATTCACTGAATGAAAATAAGTTGTGAGATTAGCTGGATAGAAAAGACCAAATTAAAAATTTATTTTGTACTTATATCTGATGTGTATTTTTAATAATCACTCTCAGAAATGAATTTCTTTAATTGTTTTGCATATTGGCAGCTATATAGTGGTCAGTAAGTCACTTGCTTAAATCTGAGACAATTACTGTATATTGTCTCAGATTTAAATAAACCAAATCTTAAAGATATACAGTAAAATAGAAGCACACTGGTACATCTAGTCTGTTGCATATAAATTTATAAATTGGCAAGTTTAGTGTTAATCACAATTCATACATTAATCATTTTTATAAACTTCAATAAAATAAAACATCCGAAAGAATCTCATAAATTTAAATGAAAGTGAAGCAATTAGAAGAGTTGAGCATTTACTGACAAATTACTTGATATGCACGTATTGTGAACATATCCACAACTACCTGTACAACAATAGCTGAATCTACATGTGCTTTGTTGTTGTTGATGACTCATACTCTATATAGTGCTTTGAATGCATAATTGCGGCTTTTTCCCAAAGAAAATTTGGTCTGTTATATTGATTATATTTGAAAAATAACATAACAAAGGAGATAAGATTTGCTTGATGGACAAACAGAGGGTAGTTTAGCCGTGTTTTAAATAAAGCTTATTATTATAGCATGCAATTTTCATAATAAATATAAACGTTCAATAAATTAAAGACTTCGTATAGATTGAAACAAAAAACAAATGCATATATATGTATCTTATAGCGATAAAGGATTTTTAACATTAAACAATGTAATTCTTACCTTTTCTAGTAAGACTGGTTTATGGGGAAAAAAAGGCCAAGTTAAGGAAAATGCAACATTGGAACAAATTTCTCCCACTTTTATGAAAGTTCAAATACAGTTAGCAAGTAGCTTCTTATAAATTACAAAATTTATACCCTAACACATCTGTTTTCAACAATGAAACCGATTTTGAAAAACATGATGAAACTGACAATGATAAAAAGAATGATAGTGATGATGATGATGATGATGATGATTATGACCATGGTTCATAACAATGAAACAGTAATATTGAAAGTCAGGCAATATAGCAACTATCATTATCAATGTTGTCTATGTCACAATCCTAGTAAAATAGGAGGTCTGAAAACTAAAAAAAATATTTAACATGAATTAATAAAAATGAATGTCTTCTTCAAGTAACTGCTGTATATTCAATGTGTACTCCTCTGCGAGCATTGAACTCGAATACAAATCCTGACTTGTATGAAAAATACATTATTATAATTTTAATGTAAACTGCAGATCATGTTTCTAAATAATCTGAATGACATATTGTCCACAAATTGACCTAGCATATTACTGGACTTTGCATCAGTGAATAATAATCATACTTAGCCTTTAGCTAGCTAGAAGCCCCATAGCTAAACCCTTAAACAGTTTATAGCTACCAATAATAGTTAAACTCATATTAGTATAAACCTAAGTAACATATTACCAAATCCCTGCATTATAGATATAGCCTCTTGCATAAAAGATACGGTTCCATTATTTCAATGAAAAACATATTTTGATATACAGTATATGCATAAATACAACTATGAACCTACAAATGTATTGGTTGATTTTAGTAATCTACAAAGGGAGGAACGTCATTTCATGTAACTGCTGTTCATAGTAGGATTAGATGCATTTCAGTGTGTTTTTCTATATTCATTTTCCATATTAATTTAAACAGCTCCTTGCATCCTTTAGCTAAGTTTAACACCTGTTCATTTTCCACCTGCACAAGCAATACGCAAAACAAAATTTTGCAAACATAAAAAGACATTTATTTGACATGTTCTAGGAAGAATGAGTATATATTTGTTGTAACTATATTTTATTTCATTAATGCAAACTTCCTCATAAAAAGACCATTTTGACTTTATGTTTATAAATTACAGTCTATTCCTCTTGCTGTTAAAATCTTAGATAACATATCTTTCATTTTCACTTATAATTGTTATTACAGTAAACAAAATTCAATAGAAACAAAACTCAAGTACTACTTTCAAATTTATTAATTTTTGTTTAATTATTCTTTCTAGTTATAGAAAATACTCTAAAAAAAAAAAATCACTTTCAATTTTGCTTATTCATAAAAGAGTAACTGCAATTCTAGAAAATGAACAATGTACAGGTTTGGCTACAGTATGTTTGTTAGCAATATTTGCTGCCATTTTAAATTCAAGTTGGTTTGTTAACTAAAAAAAAATATCTTGTGTCTTTCTACACACGGTTAAGTTTAAGGAGGAAAATATATATAAAAAAATGTTTAATGTCAACTTTGTACCTTGTACAATAGCTTAGCTAAGTAACAGTTAAGTCTAAGTTACTAGATATAATTAATACTGTATTATTGTACAGTATATGGCCAGTTAACAGAGTGTTAATGGATATTTGAAATCTGGAAAATACCCTGTTTTCTCTACATCTCATGTCCTTTGGATGGAACATTAATCCATTGAAACAAGTGAGCAAAAAAATATTTGAATAAATTATGAACTGTTTACCAGTTAAGTACAAAAATATTTGAAAAAATTAGGGAACTGTTTACTGGTTAAGTACTGACCACGTTACAAACTGCACTTTGGCTGCAGCTACCTAGGGATCTTATATTACAAATAAATAAATTTGAATATTCTTAGTGATTCTGACAAACACCATATCGTATACAATACATTTTTAATTTAAATGTTTACATTTTATTAAATATATTAATTGTGTAAATAATTTTAGAATATAATTGTTATAGGTTGGGTAGGACCAAATGTGTAGCAACCACTAAACAGACACAGGATCATCATATTGTATACTCAGCTTTTTAAAAACTAAGCCTATTATTATTTACCTCTATAATATTGGTGATGATTATTGGAAATGATGGTTGAGGTATTCAGAGTGGGCTGACAATAAATGGATATTAAATAGAACAACCTTGAACAAGTGTGCCTTCAAAAGAATACCATGCTGAACCTTGGACAATTGTTCTGAACAAACTGATGACAATTAATATTGAACTACAATCTGTCATTTTATGAACCTCTTTTTATTGGAGATTTTTCATGGTATGTATGAATTCTTTAGGTGTTTTCAATTTGACACTAATATTTATGTCCCTGCCAATGGAAATCCTATATAAATATTTTTGCTATGATTTTAAAAACGCCTGTTACTGTAGTTTATTAGCTAAGGGTGAGATTAACTCTTAATTTATGCAGTACTAAACACCTTTTTAAACTATGGAAACTAAAAATGGTAGATTTAATAATGTTATTACATTTTTAGTTTCCACGGTTTAAAAAGGTATTTACAATGCTGTACTAAACACACTTTGAAAAAATGGAAACTAAAAATGTAATAATAAAACTTACAGCATAATTGAACTTAGAGACCTGTACCGAGGATCACATATGGGTCACGATCTCCCTAAGTTCTATCATTTCAAAATAGGATATGAACTTTAATAAATTATTAATGGTGATGACTAACACAGTCACTGATAAGCATAACTCAAGGATCTTGCCTTGTGAATTAATCAAGTTTAATTAAAGATACACAATTACAAGCAACTACAGTAATATCAGACAATAAAGCATTATCACTGGAAAGGGTCATCACTATGGTGAACACTGTCTTGGTGATTATTGAAGATGAATATGATACCAGCTTAGGTTACTGATTATTTTTTAGTACAAGACAACAACAGTATATATAGCATGTCAATATTAGTATGGCAGTAGTAGTATGTATGAATACACAATATTTTCTTGCAACTTGAATCTGCTTCTTAAGCCTAATAAAGAGAGTTTATAGATCAATTGCATCTTGTAAATGGCAATTCACTTGTACCGTACTCGCTTGAATAAGCGCCCCGTTTGAATAACTGCCCCTCCTAACGTGAAAATTTCCTTAAGCACCTTGTTTGAATTAGCACCCCTTTCTAATTTAAATAAGCACCCCTTCATAAGATTTCTTTTTAGCAAGTCAATAATCCAATCAATCCTGGGATTGTGGTTGTTGGCATGATTTGAGCTATAGAGTGGAAACACATTCTTCTTCAGTCAATATCAAAATAAGGATATTTCTCTTGGACAGATGAGAGCTCCGATCCCTGGACAGACAGTATATTTCCAACTTTAATCTTTTTAGATATTTGTCTATGTCTAGTCCTACTCCTCTTTTTCTTTTTTCGACCTTAAGCACATTCTCATCTGAGTTTTCAAGAAAAATACAATGATCCTGCCATCCTGCTAATCTCAATCGGCCGATGGCCAACAAGCTAACCAATACCCACCACTAATTGCATCTGCTATTTTGCTGTTATGTAAATATTCACGCATTTTTGTTATGAGCCATGTTCTCTGGACGATTATCTTTTCTAACCACCATTCGTAATGTCCTTATACTGTATAATTTTTTTCCATTCAAAAAGTGCCTCTTGAATTTTTAATTATTAAAATAATTTCCCATAAGAACCCCTCGATTTTTATCTACTTCCATAAGCGCCCCCTCAATTTCCTCTCTGTTTTCATAAGCGCCCCGTTTGAATAAGCGCCCCTCAGAAAGTGAAAAAAATATTTTAAGCGTCCGGGCGCTTATTCGCGCGAGTACGGTAGTTAGATGAGATTAAAATAAACAGAAAAGATGAAACTATATAGTCATAACTGTTCACAAAATCGAAATTTTTCAATATTCTGATTGATTGCACTCATCATGATCTTCAATGCAAACATCACATGAGTACATATAAAAGTAAAAGAAAAAGTAGGCCTATATCTTTAAAAAACATAATTTTTTGAGGATTCACTTGCATCAATTACTGTAATCAATTTTGTTTGCTGTTATAGGTTTGATGATGAATACCTTTGTATGTATGTAGTCAAGTACCATATGTATTCTATTTCTGGGAAACTTCTAAATCTCTAAACCAGTTGGTGGGGTGTCATCAAAATTCAGTAAAGCCACTGGAATCACGGGTCTTGGGTTCGAATCCCAATGGAGACAATAAGCTTTAAAAAACCTGTCTTGAAAACCAAAAGCAAAATAGAAAAGAATTTAGGGTTATATTTTTAGTGAATAATAATGATTGGTTTCAATGATAAGCAGATAATCACTTGTTATTAGTCATCACTGTACTAGCTTCACACAGCTCATTGCTCCTATCTTAGTCATCTCTCACTTGTACTTATCTGATTTCAAAGAAATAATGAGATGCAACAAGTCAATCTCATTAAATTACATTAATCTCTACACAACTGTTATGCTGATGTTTTCATGAATATAATTTTCCAAATAAGACATCTGCTGCTAAATCTGTAAACAACTGAATTTAAACTCACAACATTTATTTTTGGATTTTTTACTTTAGTAGTCACCTATAATTTATAAATATTGGAAGCAAAAAAATGGCCTAACAGTTCTCACCAATACATGCCTCTGATTTTGAACTTTTAGATCTCGTGCATACACATTGCTAACATAGACTGATGGCTAACACACCATGTCCTACTCTACCATCCCATGAGATAAAAATTTGACTTTACATTAAATTTGTGTGAAGCTATTTGTAGAATTGATTTTATCGTTACTTTATATTTACATATCTGGTTCTCATTGTTTAGAAATTTTTCATAAATATTGTGAATGATATAGCCTACATTATTTTGTATGTGCTGATTGGAATAATGTTTATTAGCTGGAACTTTCACTTCTCATTCATTGGCTGTTAGTTGAAGATATGGAATGATGCCAAAAATGAAAATATTGCCTGGTTTGGTGAACCTCAAATTTCTAGTTAAAAGTTAGGTTAGAAGCAAAATATGACCTGTACTTTACTCTACTGTACTATGGAGAGCCTGCTTGACACATCTCATGTTTTTTACTTTGGTCTGAGAACTTGTTTGACTTGTATTTCCTCATATTAAAAATAAAAGTGATACTAAACAAAATAAATAAATCAATAAAGATATGAATCACACTAAAGTACACCATGAACAGAGCAAATTTTTGTGTACTTTACAAAAATCAATGACTAACAGAAGATAATTTCTGCATACTGTATGTGTTTTAACCGTCAAATAACAAAAAGTATAACTTTAAACAGTGGTGTTTCATTTTTTTTTTATCCAAATAGAAAAAAATTAATTAGTTCACTTGCAGCACATTTTACAAACTAAAGTACAGTATGTTGCAGTTATCCTAAGCAGCACTTAGGTGACATCACCGGAAGCCAACACAGCACTTCAAAACAATGCACGGGTAAAATATAGAAAACAAAAATTACTAAAGTATTTATCGGGATCAAGCTGTTATTACGATCTGATTTATTGCTAAACTCTTTCTCTCAAAAAGGATGTACAGTACTCTGTTGTACAAAGAATGCCAGGGATGTCGTTATGCAGGGTGGAGGTGGGCTTGGCCGAGCAGCCTTGACGTCTTTCGCCCATCCTAAAGCCACATTTAAGGTCTTCCGCCCAGTCTCATACCTGTCTCTTATACACACGCACAAATTCAAGATTTTCCCCCAAATTAATAGTAATTAATAACGCGACAATGGATTCTCGCACCGGTCAGAATGTTGTTTGACAGGCGCTTCCTTCGCTGATTCGTCGCTTGGCATGAGAGCAACGTAGTTTGTTTGAAAACTCAATGTGTCTGTCTGTTTTTCCAGTGGGGGTAAGCTGGAAATTAGCTCTCATGCAACGTACTTTCAACATAGCCAGGCTAGTTAAAAATTGATATCAAAAGTTAAGATTGTTTTCCATAAGCATGCTCAGTCTACGACGTTGAGTAAACAGGCATGTTATTGTTTTGATTTAATTGTTGCAATGATTTCAAGATCTTTTATCATTATACCGTGTAACACTGCGGCAAATTTATAATATCACTAAGCCTCCCTAGCTTGAATAGCGCTAACTGTACGTAGTGCTGGTAAGCCTACTGGTAGGTAATTAACAGTTTAAAGCGTTAGTCGGATTAATTTTCTCCGACTAAATAAAGCCTTGCGTGGAGGCATCACCTACTACTGTTTCCCCATTGAATGTCCCAGAGGGCTGTGGAATGTGGGGACAGCTTGGTAGAATTGATGTGTAAAAGCAGGGCGTAGTTGTACGAGCGATGTTTGTTTCCCACGATATATAGCCACTGTAACCATGATTCTTACTATTCTTATTCATTTCGCTTTTAGTGGAGCAAAACTTGTGAGCAAGTCGATGTTAATTTGCATTCAGGCTGTAATTCATGACTGAAAATGGGAAGACCCTAGCTTACTATCGGGAGATCGTTGGAGTCGCCCACCACCAGTCGTAGATATTTTGAACTAGTGAAAATCAACAAGATATGTTAAATAATAAAGGATAGGAGATACATGTGAAATTGTTTCCATAATTTCGTTCTAATTTATGGAGTCATTCTATTAGCAAATAAAAATTCATAATCTTGGCATTACATCTATTTGTTACTAGTCCATGACTACTGTATTGCAATTGCATAAGACAGAACTAAATGGAAGAAAAGCAGACATTATTATGATGATTACATGATGATGACCAATGTTACAAAGGCTAGTAGTCCTTGTCTTTAAAAATAAATTATTGATTTTGTTTTTTTGATTAAAATTATATTACTTTCATGAATGACCCTCTTATCCTGGAATAAAAAATAGTTTTTAATAATATGTCGCATAGGCTAGTATTCGTCCTTGACTTTAAAAAAATTAGGTACGTACATATTTTATAAGCCATCAAAACTAAGTAAATTGTTAAGTTACATTACCCAAGTCAAACATTTTGGCTCTCTATACAGCAAGAATCCCAGTGCTTCGGGGGCTTTGCCCCCTCTGAAACCCATCCCCCCATTCGGTTCTTCGGCCCTCGCTCGGTTGGCGCTTCGCACCAAAGTACACATACGTTCATGCCAAACCCACCCGAAAAATTCTAACACCCACACTCAGTTTTCAATAGATACATCCCTGGGGTGCTTCATCAATGTTGTATAAAAACTCACCGCAAAATTCATTTGTAACAACCACAAACAATGGATTCATATTCTAATGGTTTTCAAATTAAAAGAGATAAAAACAATGGTGACTCAGTGCATCAGTGGCTTCTTAATTCATATGAGTGTTTTATTATATCAATTCTATTGTAGGCCTATTTATCTTTAATTCAATGTTTTACTATGTAAATTTTCTCCAATATGTGTCTTCCTCCTACAAAAATAATTTATTGTTCTTTTGTTAGATGTTTTGCTGCATGTATTTTCAAAAAACAGATTTCGATTTAATTTTTAAAAATAAATAATAACAATATTATGATGAAGAATTGTGTGTGCATATTGCATTCAAGTACCCATCATCACCATTGTAATGATGGAATCCACAGTAGAGTTCCTTTGAATAAATTTGTAAACAAAAGCATAACATGTGTATTATCTAATATCAAATCTTAAAAACAATAAAAAGTGTAGATAATTTCAAATTCAGTTTAATAAAGGATACAGTCTTGTACTTTGCCGCCTTCAATGACACCTCTTTTAGAGAAGGAAAGTAGGATGAATTTTCCAAATCGACTTGAATTGTTGTTGTAAACCGTTTTGGCATTTCCAAAAGCCTCTAGAATAGGGCTACAAAGAAAAAGAAAAATGTATTCTCATTATAATGTACATCTGCTGAATAAATACTCATATTTTATATTCATCATCATTTTATTATCAGTTTTGTTTGAAATATAAAGTTATTAGTTCACTAGTATCACTCAAGTATCTACATTAATAGAGGAAACCAAGAAACCAAGTAAGGAAGGATGAAAGAGGAAAGCAAAAAAAATGAAAGAGGAGGAATAAGGTATGTAGATCATGTTACATGTTGCGCTACATTTTGTAGAATTAATTGTGGTACTAGCAGTAGATTTCCTGTTTTAAAATTTATTTTGCAATATAAAATATGTGCTTTTGCTCAAGTTGTATTGATTTCAAGTACTGTAGCGTACTACAGTATATTCCGTCTGCATGGCACTGTCATCTTCCAAATTCCCATGAATCGTTACGTTTGGATTGATTTTAAAATATTTTATTTTAATCATGATTCTCATTTGTTTCTTGGCGTCAAAGTCAATAATATTTCCAATTCATACTTTGATGAGTAATACCTTCAATATAGATTGGGCAGCGTGATGAGACGAGATAGACAGCAATGAGACAAAATATTGTAGAACAATAACATAAAGAAGAGCAATAAGAGAGAAAGGCAAGATAATTCGATGAAAACAGTAAGATGGAGAGGCAACTGTGTGACAACAAGATGATAAATTTGCAGGATAATTATCACATTAGGAAATCCATGCTCATCTCCATAATTGATGCCATAACAAGAATACAAGGTTGGAAGCATAAGATAACAAATTCATATCATTATGATGAATAAAACACTTAACATTACTAGGTGCTGACTCATTCAAAACATCCCACTGATATACAAAAACCGCACCAACATGTGCGGTTTTATCAGGTAAAATAATCAGCTTATGATATGCACATTCATAGATAGCCGCGCATCTATAATTTCATGTACGTTCGCAAATTCTGCAGAATCAAAAAAGGATGTTGTGTCTCATAAATCGACGTACATTAGCTCCTAATGGCGGCTATAAATGAACATTGCCAACCATACAATTAATCACTGAGGTTAATATAAGAGAGAAATTATAGCGCATACTTAAAAAAACATCAGTCGTTTACTACTACCGTAGTCCCATTGAACAATTATAATTGATACCAGACTCAAAATTTCATGAAATCTGATTGGTGGATTGGTTAAGTGAGCACATCAGGAATCTATCTCTAGTGGCATCACTCTATTCATGAATGAATCAGGAGAATTGGAAATTGTAAATAATGTTTGATTTCAACAGAGTGGTATGTCAATTACTGCTCTGTTTGTATCTTGTATGGCTTTGCTTAACTTGTACATTGCTATGACATGTAAGAAAATGATTACTCAATAAACAAATTTGTCAAGTCATATAAAATAAGATTTAATAATAAATATTCTACAATGTTAATTTTTTTAAATCCAAGTCCAATCATCTTTCATTTCTTATATTTATTGCCTGCTAATGCTATAGCCTATCATCATTGCTGCTTGCTAGTTATTTCACAAAACATCATTTAGTATAGGTTTAGGTCACATTCTTTTGCTTGTCTTCTGTTCATTTTGCAAGATTTATGATGCAAGGGACTTTTGCTGTTCTTTTTGCAATGTTATTATAATTGTTTTCATTCATTTTCAGTCATTTTGCTTGGGAACTGTGAAAATCAAGCATATATCGGATTAAAAAAGACAGGTTTCGCAGTGACCTAAGTGGTAAATAAACACCTGACCAAATAATGTCATAATAGAAACAAGGATAAATTCCTAAAGGATTAGCTGGGATTAGCAGTTTAATTAGCTGAACAAAAGAACCAAATAGATTTTGGCACAGTTATGAATTGTTCAGGTTCTCAATTAAGCATAAATACTCAATTTAACTTAAGCGCATTCTCCAATTAAAATAAATTTCACGGCACACTAAATCTGTAAGTATAATTATGATAGCTGATGCATTAAATGGGATGCTTAAGAACATGTAAAACTGAATATAAGCAATTATTATTCTACTGTTAACAATAAATCACAAAGCATGCACCCGTTTCTATTATTCTCATCAATATCACAACTACAAATGCAAACCCAATTTCCTTCATTATCAACTAAAATTTGCTATTAATTACTTCAATTTTGAAACCTCCCAACACTGTACTGAACAGGACTCAATTATCCCTTCTCCTTTCTGCAAGGACATAGATTCTCTAGCACACAAAATATTTACTGTGGTATATGGGCAAGAAAAAAGGTGTGACATTGTGTAATAAACAAAGGTTGGAAGTACTTGGATTACAGTGAAGTCAGCAAATTGCAAGTGGCCACTCATCACCAACCCAGCTGACAGAAAGTGTAGTCACGCCTCACTGCACAAACTCTCCATAACCAAATTCAAACCCGCAGCAGAATAGCAATGAGATTACTACACTGCATAGATAAATAGGCTAATCAGACGCAAAAGCACATAGATTTGGGAAAATTCTACTCTAATTGCAAAACCTTTGTCTGTGTATTCACATATCATTATAATTCATTTCCGATTCTTAACTCTTTAGGCAGAATGCATTATTATTTAGTAGAGAGATGTACATCCTTCCAATATTTGAGAAATATTTTTTAAATCGGCCTTAAAATAATATCCGTATATTAGAAATTGTAATGTTAACGTATTATAATAATTTGAAATATTAAGTTGTTTTAAAAGTAGATATCAGTTTTTAAAATATATTGATTTATTTAATTTTTAAAAATGATTCTTTAGCATTATAATATATTTATTTCAAATATAAGGAGGGTGAAGCCAAGGAGGAACAAGGTTCCTATACAAGATTTCACAGCCCCAAACATGAAACAAACATGAAACATGAAAGAAAAAACAAATAACAATAGCATACAATCACACACAGCAAAGACACCATGCAATTGTACAAATTTTATACAAGGGTCGATTTAACTATATTTACTAAATATTTAAATTATTATCATCATTATTATTATCTTTTTTGATTAAAAAAAAACATTTTTAGAGGGTTTATAATTCACCGAGTCCTAATATACAACAAATATATTATGTGAACACAGGTTGTAAAAATGTAAAAGAGGGATAGATAGATCCATGGAATGAAGCATATTACAATGTGGTATTCTATGTACAGTGAAGCATATCACAATGTGGTATTCTTATGTACAGTATGTGCTTACCTGCTTTGGAGAATACATTTCTCAACTGATACATCATTGCCTGCCTCCTTAGCAGACGCTTGACTCATCTTTGATAGGTAATTCAGGATAAACTTGGTACTTTCTGTCTTCCCAGCTCCACTTTCACCACTAGCAAGATATAATACGGAATTACAAAAACAATGATTATGAATTACATTACAGTACTAGCTTTAACAGGGACTATGTTATGCTTTCAGTTTTGTACAGTATATATTCTCAATGAAAAGGCAATGGTTTTCATTGTTGTTCAAAATCACAAAGTACAATATTAATAAATTATAGTATTAAAATTAAAATTATTTAAAGAAATTTATAAAAAAATAACCAACAGATAATACAGCAATAACAAAACAAATAATAATTTAAATATTATTAATAATATGAAAAATATAATTAACTAAAGTAGTGTACATAGGCTTTTTGCCTTATGGTTTATTTAGCTTTATTATTATTAATATGCTGCATCTAACCATCACAATAGGAATAAACAGGTAATATCTTTGTCTATGTAGATATTTCTAAAGAGAATGTGGAGCCATGAAGTCTGGAATAAATGATAAAGGTACAATTGAGAATTCAAATCATCCATAAATGATATAAATATGCTACTGATAATTATAGCGTTGGTGGTAGAGAGCCTAGTGCAGCAAAAGGCTAACTACGATCTACAGCAGGCAGCATCATTTTATGTGGTTCACATTGAGTACCTGGCAGACACCTAGCTGTGACCATGATTGCCATTAATAATATTATATTCTTGCCCTTAATCTCTGTTACTCTCGTTAAAGTGAATCCCACATGTCTCAAGATTGAATACTTTACTTCTCACTTTCATACCTCCATACTTATTTACAGAGACAGGCCTCTATTTTAAAATGTATTGATACAATGGTAATTATGGTAAAACCATTTGAATTCATTACAAATAGTTCCATGGTGTGGATATGGATTGTATCAGTACTAGGTTCATTCAGGTGTTTATATTAGAGTAGTTTAGAGAATGAAAGAAGGAAGTAATATCCAGTGTACAGAGAATTTTATTTTTGTATTTGTTGTTGCTTGATTAGGAGCTGAACCCATCGTTGGTAATCAAAAGGACAGACCAAACATACATTACTGTATATAGAATATGGAAGGCAAAGAGGAAGTATAGAGTAAAATTTTCAAGCTCACAGCCAGGTGATTTGAGGGGTTCAAATAAAACCCCCTTTGAAGGAATGCCCTTTTCAATTATTAGTAAAAAGTACCATTGCAGGCAAGTTACTGAAATTAACTCCCAATATTTTTTAGGTGTATTTTAAAAATTCACGCCAACTATAAATAGGGCAATTTAATATTTTGAGTGTGGTAGAGAATAACATATTGAAGGCATTATACATGTTGAGACATGGACTTGAGTGCTTCCTACTGTAGGATTATTGTGGATTATGTCCAGTGCATTTGCAGTTTATTGTCCACTGTGTTTATGAATGATGAAATGTTCACTACGCTGTGCTCAATGTCCAATGGGAATAGTATGATGTTCCAAATGTCCAGAGAAGGCAGTGTTATAGTAGAATGTCCATGTTGAGTAATGGCAATTGTCCATTTTAATTGTGGTCAGGTGTTCAGCACACCTGTGGTTAAGTTCACTGTGGCTGTGGTTGAAGGCTATGAATGACTCAATAGATCCTATTCTATTGTTGCTATCGTAAGTTTCTAGTTGCCATAGTAATGGATGAGCTAGACCTTGAAGTTAAGTTTAATTATAAGAGTCATCAAGGAGTGTCAAGACCATAAAACAGTTTTGAAGTAAGTAGCTTTCAATATCACAGATATGTGAACCACATTGAACACAGCATCAATGATGCTGCCACTGACTAAGCTAGGTATAGAAAATACTATGTAGTAGTTGCTTGTGTAATGTTAATGTCACACCAAAGAATATAGGGGAGGGGGGCAAAGAGGTCTGACTGTCCTGATTTTGAAGGAGGTATGCACTGAATTGAAAAATTCAGTACTACTACAAGATAGGGGCCCTATTAGTATTAATATTTGCATAGAGTTTAAATTTGAACAGTGTTCCATACATGCAACGCATGTTCGATATGACTGACTTTTACAAGAATATCTTCTCTTTTGAAGAAGGAAGTAATTGTGGTAGTACTTTTCAAAGGAAACCAGCGAGTCAGATCTCTTGCCATTCTACTCCTTCAGATGTCACATGCACCTAGCAACTAGAAATGGACTGTGTGCTAATTAGACATCACAACCAATCACATAATGAGATCACAGGATGCTTATATTTCTAAGTTTGATGCTGCTTCATCAAAATTGAAACACAAGTAAAAAATCTTATTCAATTACATCATCATCACAATAATATCATCACTACTACTAACACTGCCTTCACACTACTAACACTGCCTTCACACTGCTAACACTGCCTTCACACTACTAACACTGCCTTCACACTACTAACACTGCCTTCACACTACTAACACTGCCTTCACACTACTAACACTGCCTTCACCAACAGGGAGCTTTTGATTTGTGCGATATGATGCTACGACGGATTCACTCATGCGTGACAGTCCTACGTCCTCTGCACAACATGGATTTGGTCAAATTGTGTAACAGAATCCACGGGCCGAGGAGAACTTAACATTTTCGCATACGTAGGTGACTTCTTAGTGATGTCAATACGTTCTATGTCCTTTGGCGTCGTGCAATCATAAGAACCCCTATTATTTATTTGACCTGGACATGACCCTATCTCCTTTCCTACTTTGTCATTGATATTACTGCATATAAGATCAATGGAAGCAATTTGTCTATGCAGACACAAATCATGATGAGGGATCAGCCCTTAGATATGCATAATTAGACTCTCACTTCTAATGATAAAATGAATAATTCATTATGAATAATTAATGAATGAATATTCATGAAGATACTGTATGATTATACAACAATCAATCATAGACAATTAGGATTTTAGTTCTGTATTGCCTAATGTCCAAATTATCAGTGAATCCTAAACATTGGCAATAGAATTACAAACATTTTTATTGAAAAGGTTAAAACTATTTATGGAGATACTATTCTCATCATAATAAACATCAACTTCTACATTTATTAAAAACATTTTATTTCAAATAAAGATAAATGTAAGTCAAGAACAATTGAAGATAATGCTGCGAAATTTGTGGTCTATTAGGGACAATAAAAGACACTGGATTGAGTTTGGTGTCAATATTGAACATGACCAAATTGCATCAATCATTGAGCATGACTGCACAGTAGCCATGTGATTGGTAGTGTAGTACAAAGTATATGCTTAAAATGGTCAAGTGCTCTCCAGAGAATGAGCTTAAGAATAATTACATTGGAAGTCTCCCATTGTTTAGACACAACACTTGTGTATTGTATTCTGTTTGAACATGGAGGTATTATAGTGAACTTTGAAGTATTATTTTTGGACGCACTTTTATCATGTGAAGTGTGCCACTGTTTCAAAAGTGTAGTTTCCGAATAAATTATTATTATTATAGAAGACCAAGGGTAAATGCTGATGACATAATACTACATATTGTTTGATAAGATATTGTTCATCAATGACTCTGACAATACTGGAAACTGTGGGTTTTGTTTACTAGAAATATTGCTAGTTTAACATTTTCTTTTTTTTATTCCTATTTCATATTCATTTTTTTCAAGTCAGTTTAATTTTATTAGCTACTAGTGCCATCAAAGGAAAATATCCGCATTAACAATAACTAATTGTTAACTAATCTTGTAGTTTGGCATGGAAACAAAAAGAAAAATGGAACTTCCGGTACATACAACCATGTCCTTGTTGCTTTTCTACTAATTGACAATGCTGACAAGTTTTGTGAGTTTTTCTTAGCCCATGATTCTAAAATTAGTAAAATAACATTTTTTCTATGGTTACTATTAGTGGTGACATCTTTTAAAAATATCTACAGAAACAACTATAAAATCTTGATTTTTTTTTAAATGATACAAAGAAATTTATTAAAATTTTATTTTCAGTCTAACCAGACATGTGAAATCATAGTGACCATAATAAACACTTATAGACCACAACATTTAACCTAAAATGTAGGCTGCGAATGATAACACTCTACATATGGTACAAGTAATTCACTGTACCTCCCTTGCTATCAAATAACATTGCAATCTCAGCTACTTATAATAAATGTTCTTGTTGAGGATTGTGCATGCCGAAGCATCTACCTTGCTGTCCCTGGAGGCTATAGTAATGTATACAATGAAGAAATATAATACTTGCCTTGCTAAAGGACATGGTATAGGTTTGATTCATTCATAATTACTGAATCCCCTTACTTTTACCTGTATATTAAAATGTTCATACATTATTTTAATAAAGCTCCAGGGAAGCAATATTTTAATATGTGTTTTTTTTTGTTGGTAAAAAAAATAATAAATACTTCTGCATTGCATAAGGTCACTTTCAATTTCATGAACAATTAAAAATTATTTCAATATTAAATAATTTTAAGAATAAATCCCATTATAATTAGTAATAACTTTATTTAAAAGAATTATCATTTTATATTATGATAAATCTTTCACAAAAAAAAAAAAAAACAACATTTATGACACCTATCTAGTCAACAAAAAGCTAAATTACAATCTATTACAGTGTTAGCACCTGACCATAGCTGCCTGCCTATTCCACCCCACACCACACACAGCACCACTGTGGTTTTCATGCATTCTGCACTCTGAAATTAGTCACTGATTATTTCCTGGAATAAGACAGTATTGTTTCATGAAATCCACAGGCCAAATCACTTTGAATATAAAGCAGGAAAGTTACAATATTGCATAATATAATATTTGGTATCAGAAGTTCTAATTACAATCATATCAATCTATGTAAACAAAGACAGTAAAAAATCCACTGTTTATAACATTCATTTATACCATACATAAAAACATTTCTCTCATTCTAAAGCTATCCCATAGTTGTACATGACATTCAATACTCAAGATATAATAGTACGGTAATAACTATTTTTGTTATTCAAAAGTACCACACAAAAAAATGCCTTGTATTATCTCCATAGCTACCGGGGCCA